TGTTTTAGCTTATTCTTGTGTATATGATATTGCTCAGTTCTTTTTGTATGCTACGTTCACTCTTAAAGTTTCAGCGTGAGCATTTTGCCCACCTTGCATGTTTGCCTCCCACACAGCACTGCAAGGCTGGACCACTACACACCCTCCTCACAGCGGCCCCCTTCAGAGGGTCCTAGCTTTTTAACCTCTCACCCTCTCCTTCCTCCCACTTACACCACTCTGCCTCCCCCTCCCTCCCCCCCTCCTTTTGTCTCCATCCTCTCTCTTTCTCTCTCTCTCTCCTTCTCCACCTCCCTACATGCTGTGTTGACATGTTTTGCCTGTTGTTGTGTGTCAGCTGGTTAACGCTAGGTGCACGGCGGCAGACAAGGACCAGAAAGATATAACCAACAACATGTTACTGACAGGAGAGAGGGACACTCAGGTACCGCCGAGAAAAAAAAAAAGCCACCCCTCCTCACCATCCACCTACCTACCTGCACTTTTGCCCTCACATTCCCCTCACCAGAGCGTCGGGCCACTCCACAGCAAGACTCTCCCAGATCATTCTTTGTCATTTGATGAAGCCTGAAGAGAAAGCACACACACTCATTTAGCTGTCAGGAAACACACCAGTAGTTGAATGCGCATTATTTATTCAACAGATTCTGTTGTACCACATAGTGGTGTTACCGGTTGTAGCGTTAAGAATTTGTATACTGCTACTCTTATGAATTAAAACATCCTTTTTTTTTTTTTTTTGTGGCTAAGCAAACACACGTTGCATTAGTAGTAAAAGTTCTCTCTGAAGTGTATGGACATCTCATGCTAACAGCTGGGTACAAAGATAAATATCATTCCTAAACGTCTCTGTGAAGTATGAAGCAGCAGACAGGAAGATTTGAACCAATCGCCTCCCAGGAAGTGGAAGAAGGACGGGGCAAGTGACTACATGTGGAAGTAGGAAGAGGGTCGGTTTTTTTGGCGCCTAAAATAACAAAAAAACATGCACAGATAACAGGATGGTAAATTTTACTAATGTGAATACAGACCGGGTGGGGGGGAGGGGAGAGGGGAGGGAAGAATCGTGCCTAATGAGGCAATTTTATTTTTTTACACAAACTGCTGAACGATGATCGTAGAAGGTGCAAGGCTAGCTGTTATGGCCGTTCTTTAAAGTGTCTATGCTAAGCTAAGCTAAGCCAAGCCAAGCCCAACACCCTCACATTCATATCCATCAATCAGACGACCAGACTTCCATTTGTATTCAGCACAAAGCACTTTACATAAAAAATCTATAAAAAAAAACAAAACAACAAGCATCCATACCTGACGATTTAAGTTTTAAACAAAGGGCTCAACGCAAATCAGGAAGTGACGCCATGATTCATTCTTACTGATGGAACACGGGAGCAAAGCCAGATTCTTGAATCAGTTCATAAAAGGTCACCTGCTCCCCTCTCAGTGTGCCTTCATTCTACCCTTTGTACTTAAACGCACATAGCCACCTTTATCAGGTATAATCCCTCTATTGATCAGGATAATGTGAATACAGGTGTGTAGACACAGACACCAGTGTGCCTTTGTTGTTGTGCAGCTGTAACCTGAAGCAGCGGGAGTAGCTTCTGACCTGCTCGGCAGCTTTTTGAGCTTTGTAGGTTAAAGCGGCTTTTAATTAGGATCAAAAAAATCAAAATTGAAACTTCAATTCCAAATGCAGAATGGATGCTTCATAGCTCTCGGGGTCTTGCTGTGGAGTGACCCCTTTGCCCTCTTTCATGGCTACATCATGTCATTCAAATTCCCTCCCTCACTCCCCCCACCTGCACCCCCCTCTCCCTTCCACATTATCCTGGTTTCTGCGGTAAACTGTGGGTTCCACTGGAATGCTGTCACATTGGCCTGGTGTGTGTCCTAATAGGGTTTGACCTCAGTGATGATTTAAGTGATTCTTTTTTTTTTTTGCTGCATTTCCTCTCCAGCTGGTCCAAGAATCTCTGAAGGTGTTTTTTTTTTTTTTTAAATAATGACATAAGGGGTTCAGTGACCCAGGAGGAGGAGGACGGAGCTGGATGGAGATGTGTGTGTTTGGCTTTTTTGTTCGATGGGTTGCATGCTTCTTTTGTGGATGTTTGTCTGCGTGAGGACAACGAGTGAGGCTCGTTCTTTGTGTCTTTGTCTGAACGTGGAGGTGGGTTGTTGTTGTTGTTGTTTTGTTTCACAAAGACCTGAAGGCTTCCTGCTCCAGTCTGATCTATTTAAAGGATCGCTTTCTTCACCTGGAGCAGAAAGACGACACTTTCTCATATCCGCACTGTGAAGTCTGCAGTGCAGCCTTTACTCCAAGGCGTCAATTTAAATCTCCTTTTTATTCCCGCTAAGTGTCGCTGCTATAAAACCGCTAAAACATCCATCTGGAATAAAAAGGAGATTTGACTTGTGGCTAATCAACTTAACTACTAAAAAAAAAAAAGAACAAACAGCGACTTTAGCGCGTTACTAAACCAGTTTCTGATTCTTCTTCAGGTCTTTCAAGGGCGACTAGACTCCCTCGCCGTCGCTACCATCAAAGCCCTAACGACAGTGATGCACAAGTCCCCCGCTGCAAAGGTGACAACAACTCATAATCACAAAATGTGTGTTTATATTTTCTGCTCTTAGTTGTATGCTTCATTTGTTTTTTTTTGTTTTTTTTAACCTGCTTCCCCTCTGCAGGAGGTGTTCAAGGAGAGGATCGGGTATAACCACCTGTATGAAGTTCTCACCTCGCTCGGGCAGCCGTCGCGGCACCTCCTCAAAGAGCTGATGAACATGGTGGGCTTAAGATCGTCTGTGGTTTTATTTGGACTGTAAACAATGCAGCACAAGTCGTTTGACGCTAACCTCTGGCTGCACTGGTGTGAAGTCATAGTCTTGTTGTGTGTGTTTGTGTGTGTGTTTGTGTGTAGGCCGTGGAGGGCGAGCACACCTCAGTGGGGCTCCTGGGCATCAGCAACGTGGAGCCCCTGCTGCTGCTGGTCCAGTGGCTCGCCGAGCTGGACTCATCCGAGCTGCAGCTCTTCACCGCCGACTGGCTCCGCCGCCTCAGCTGCCTCAACCGCCAAACCCGCGCCACCTGCGTCAACGCCGCCATGGTCATGCGAGCGCTGGCCGCTTTGGACCGCCATGAACGCTTGCACCGCTCGTGCGCCGAGAGCCTCTTCGGACTGGTGGGCTCGCTGGGCTCGCAGTCCTTAAGCGCCAGAGAGCTGTTGGGACTCGTGCGCCTCCTCAGGCCGCCCGAGGCCACTCAAGCGCACCCCTACGTGGGTCCTGCTCTCAGAGCCCTGCTCGCCATGGTGCGGAAGCAGGGCCTGGAGAGCGCCATGCAGTACTTTGATCTGTCGCCAAGCATGGCCGGGATCGTAGTTCCGACAGTGCAGCGCTGGTCGGGCTCTGCTTTCAGCTTTCTCGCCTGGTTGTCGCTCGATCAGGACCAGCTCGGCCCGCCCAGCAAGGACAAGAGGAAACAGCTGTACAGGTGAGAGTCTGGTCTTCACAAGCTGAAGCATACTTTAATTGTTCTTGTGAAATCATCACTTTTTACACTCGCAGGTGGGATGCACTGATTGGCTAGATAGCAGTAAGCTGATTCCAACAGCAATGCTTCATTCTTTATATATATATTTGTTTTCCCTGCACAGCTTCTTCACCCCGGGAGGGACGGGGTTCGAGGCCTTCATCAGCTCGGCGGGCGTGCTGGTGGTGGCTGTCTGTACCAAGAAGGAGTACGTCACAGTCATGCTGCCTGATTACTGCTTCTGTGACTCTCTCTGGGTGAGTTTACGGCCTCTGGAATGTGAAACGCACGTCTAGACTTAATCATCTTTTAATAAACAAACAAATTAGGGAAACCCTGCAGAATATGAATCGGAGGGATCTTTGACTTCTCAATGCTTAAATTCTCAAAATCCTTGAGTCTGGTGGTGTTAACACTTGTGTACTTCAAGTGATGAAAGACACAACAGAAATGTCAAAGTAATTTCCATTTCTAGACACTTAAAAAATAGAAAATGAACACTTTTTAATCATATTAAAGAGACCTACATTCGTGTATGTTTCTGTTTACAGCACAGCATCGGTGTAGTTCATATTCCAGGGAAAAGGCCGTTTGGACAGAGTCTCGTTTATATTTATGTGGATGGACAGCAGAAGCTCTCCGCCCCCCTCAAGTACCCCACAATGACCGAGGTGAGACTTACACCCGCCTGTATTCTTTAACAGAATGTACTGTAATGCCTTCCAGCTATTCAACCAGCTTTGTGTGTCATCTGTCCTTCACAGCCGTTCATCTCCTGCTGCATCGGCTCAGCAGGCCACCGCACCACCACCCCCCCGCCCTCCCAAATCCCAGACCCTCCCTTCTCTTCGGCTACAACGCCCACCACTCGCTCCTCATTGGGTGGCATCCTCTCACCTCAGACGTGGGGAGGCCTCCTCGGGGGGAAACCCGAGTCCGTGACCAAGCTCATCTCGGCGGGGACACAGGACAGCGAGTGGGGAAGCCCGACGTCCCTACAAGGCCAGCTGGGGAGCGTCATGGTCTTCCATGAACCTCTGCAGCCTAACCATGTGAAAGCCATCTGTAGCGCGGGTAAGCAGGAACTCGACGCTGTTACAGAGGGTTGATGAGAGGGAGCGATAAAGTTACAACTTAAAGTTCTTGGTTTGTCCGTCTCGTTCACAGGTCCGAACTGCATCTCTCCTTTTAAAGCGCTGGAATCAGAACTCGGAGACTTTTCCACCAAACTGCTGCTGCATTACTCACCTAAGGTAATTCTAGTTTCTCTTTTTTATTTTTGCCTATACATTAATGTCGTGATAGAGCAGGAAACCAGGAGAGAGAAACAGAGAGAGAGAGGACCAACATGCAGGAAAGAAGCCAGAAGTCACAGTCCAAATTTGGACCCGAGCCTCCCGCTTTGAGGACTACAGCCTTTGTACATGCGGCTTGACCTAACCCTTCGGCCATCTGCACCCCACATTTTTCCACCTCCACCCCCCAATATCAATTCAATGTTTTATTTGTAGTTTTTATCCTTTGTGCATAATACAAACAATATAAGGACATACAGGAACTCAAACAAACACGACTCAGACATGTATGTGCATTAAAAAATTAGGTGAAGCAAAAAAAACAAGTGAAAAGTAAACAGAAATTTCTTGCATAGCTGCCAGTCATTCAGTACACTGCGTATTAACTCTCTTAAGAAGAGGTCCGATGTTGTAACAAGGTGAGTTTTCAACCCACATCAGCTTTGTCCAAGTGGGCAAGAAATGCGTCCCAGATGGCCAAGAATTTCTTAATCGGAGTTGTACTTCCATCCCCTTTTAAAGTATTTCTGATAGCCATACCGGTTCAGAAAACAATACCAGCATGGACCTGTGTTACTGCCTACTGTGCATTATTGGAAAGTACACCAGTCAGTGCACCGATCCACTCCTGAAAAACATCACAACCCCCCCCCCCCCACCTCCTTTATCATGTTACAATACCAGACGATAACAGTGCAGTTTCAGCCCTTAGTAATCAGTGTTTATTCACCATGATCTTTGTAAACCTGCTTGTAGGGATACTTGATATTGGCAGTTACCGTACTCAAGCCTTAGTTTGGGCATCCGTTTTGTGTACAAGTGTTGAAGGCCTTAAAGTTAAGATTTATTTTTGGGCATTTTGTGCCTTTTATATGAGAGACAGTGGATAGAGTTGGAAATCAGGGAGAGAGAGAGAGTTAGGAATGACATGCGGGAAAGGAGCCACAGGTCGGATTCAAACCCAGGCCGCCCGCTTGGAGGACTACAGCCTCCACAAGTTATCTCTTTTTCACGTTGCAGTGGGGGAAAGAGATTTCCTCATTATTTATTTGAAAGGAAATGCGCTTCTTTTGTCCTCAGGCGTGCAGGAACCCCATCTGTCTGGATCTGTCTCCAAACATGCTGCACGGACGCCTGACTGGGAATAAAGTCGTCAACTGGGACATTAAGGTCGGCTGCCACTTCCCTGAGCGTTTCAACTCGACTTGCGTGCCTGTTTGTTCTCGTTGAATACGAGTTTTTCTGTTTTATCTTTTTGCAGGATATGATCAACTGTGTGGGCGGCCTGCCGGTGCTCTTCCCCATCCTGGAGCAGTTGGCCCTCGTGACCCCGGATCAACAGGCAGGCGATCCCGCAGCCGGGTCCGACTTCATCACCCCTGATGTAACCACGCCAGCCGATGGGGACTGGGTCATCCTCCCGTCCAATAGGGCTTCAGGTCTGTAACATAATCATTCTCATTTCCTCCTTTTTGAACGTAACTTTTGGAAGTGGGTCAAATCAACTAGTTTTTTGACATTTTCTGTTGCAGAGGCGCGCCTGGAGAAGAATCTGGTGGCCACCTTCCTGTTGGTGCTGAAGCATTTCCTGCAGAGGCATCTGATCAACCAGGAGAATCTGCTCCACTCACACAGTGTTGCTACACTAGGAGGCCTGCTGCAGAAGGTCTCTGTTTAATCATATTTCTAATAGTGAAAGCATACTCTTAAGGTGTTTCAGTCTCTTTGCTTCCATTTGTCTGAAGAGAAACTGTAAAAGTATGTTCTTCTCTCATGCAAACTAGTTTGAAACAGAAAAGGAAATATTAAGGAGGCAGTCCCTTTTTGACCGCCTGCTATTTGTGACCTTGAAACAATGCCTCCTGGTTATTTTAATCCGCTTTGTATTTAAATTGTGGCTGTCAGTTTTCTTCCTCCGTCCGTCTGATGTGTGGTTCCTTGTCTTCCCTGAATACAAAAAAAAGCGATGTTAGCCTGTGATCTAGAGGGGAAAGAGTCAAAGCATTGAGTATGATTTACAAGTCAAGCGCAAATCTTAATCATAATATTTATCCATGCAAAAAAAACATAAGCCTCTTTTTGTTTTTCACTCTATTTAAACTGGATTATTTCTGTGCTGCAGCAACAAAGTGAGACCTTCAGCCGATCTGACTTTTACTGTGTTTCTAGAATCCACACAGAGCTTCATGTTCATCGACGTCTCCCCAGTGAAAGCAAACGACCTCAGACAGCTTTTGTCCCCTTGTTGTATTTTCTTTTTATGCCCTCGTCCGTGTTCATTACTCGTCCTTTCTCCTCAGCTGCTTCAGAACTTATTTCTTTTCCAGCTGTCTTTGTGTGTCAGGGTTGAACTTTTACACTCTGGGAAAATTAAAAGCGTCCACAGAGACACAGATCAAAGATAATGTCTTAGAAGTGGTGATAGCTGCTAACCACACCCTGTAAATTGTAAAAGTGTAGATAAACAGCCAATGTGTTTCCATTGACCAAAATGTTCCTTATCTTTCCTGTAGACGTTCTGTTTATCAGAACTCTTTTTCCAACAAGCCTCCAAATGGTTGTCGGGGGTTACATTACCTACATAAACATATTTAATCCTTGTTTATTCTGTATTTCTGTTGCTGAAAGGTCTGTTTTCTAACCCTTTAATTTGTCTGCTTTCTTTTCCTTTCAGTGTTTTGATTATTATTGTACATTAAGCTCTCTCTTATCTTCAAAAAAACTGATATTTGGGCATAAAGTAAAAGGCAGTAAGTGTTCTTTAGTATGAGTAAAAGTGCAACATCCAATGCATCTTAATTTTGTGTGTTTGCAGTTGCCGGCTGGCCACGTGGACGTCAGCGTTCTCGTCGCCGTGCAGCTTCTGATCGAGCAGGTGACGTACGAGAAGAACCAGGCTCTGCTGCAGCAGCTCCACACACATCTGCTGTTCAACTTCAACATCTGGAACAAAGGAGACTTCCCTCTACGCATAGGTTAGATCGCCGTTCCTTATCCTGTTTTGGTGTGAGAGCCTGTTTTAATGAGGTCGAAACCTTTAGCCTGTTGTTCTGTGATCTAACGCAGGTCACATCCAGTACATGTCCACGGTCATCAAAGACAACAGAAAGCAGTTCAGGAAAAAGTACGGCGTTCAGTTCCTTTTGGACAACGTGCGCCTTTATTACGGGTGAGTTCCAATTTCCAAAAGGTTATATCGCGCCCAGCATTTAGTCCCCCACCGAAACCTCGACTTAAAGGGATACATACAGACATTTACTACAACACATACGGCCGTTTTCTCAACTGATTCAGAGATTTCTTCCAGAAGGAATTGGCGTCTTGGAAATTGATGATACAAAGCTGAATGCAAATGGGTGAAGTTTTCCCTTTTAATCGTCTTTCTCTCCTCTGCAGGAAGAACGGCAATAAAGAGAGCGACCTGAGCGAGGACGACGTTCGAACCGTCAGGGCGTCTCTCTGCGGCCTCATCAAGTACTACATCAGCAAGGGCATGTCCCAGGACGAGATGCACAGCATTCTGGGATATATCGCTGCCATTGGGGATGAGGAACAGGTGAGGCACTTTTTAGAAATTCTTCTAATAAGCCATGTGTTCATAAGTTCAGCTGTTTCTTCCAACCTCTCTGCATTATCGCTAACCTCTGTTAGCGTTAGCCATCAGCCACTGCTTCCTGACACAAACACCTCTTCAGATGAGGTTTTCCCACGAGTCTGTATCTGTCAGTTTGTTTCTTTGTGTGTGAAATCCATTTCCTCTTCTTGCCACACCTGCTCTCTCTCTCTTCCCTTTTTTTTTACTTCTGTCTCATGTTTTGCATTTTTGTCCGTCACTTTGCATATCCTCTTACAGCGCTGTACTATATGTGGAAGCTGACATCACACTTTACGAGCATATGGTCGATACGATCCTCTCCCCCCGCTCTGCATCTGCTGCCACTCTGATAATATTTACTCGTGCATCAAGCCAGACAGGCCTCTAATGCCATACACAAGAATTACCAAATCCTAATCTCTATATGAGGATTATTTTTAAATGTCCCGATACAGATATCAAATCACTAAGTTTGACACCAGAAACAGCCTCCCTTTTATTTCATTTATATTTGGTTAAAGACGCAAAGAGCTGGCATGTGTATTTTCTTCTCAATCTTGAAAGCTTAAAAAAAAATCCTCTGTGATTGTGTGTGTGTGTTGCAGTTGTGTGGATTGCTGGAGATGCTGCTCAGCCTCCTCCAGAGCAGCCCGGCCCGGGACCAGATCTTCCTGCTCCTCTTCGAGCCGGGCGCCGCCGACTCCTGCTACGCTCTCCTGCTCAACAACAAGCACTCGGATCGACTCCGAGAGCTCGTCTTCAAGGTCAGTAAATCCCTGACTACTAAAAAAAAAAAAAGTATTGAGTACATTTCTTTGACTTAGAAAAAAACATGTGCCAAGTTCAGGAATAAAAAAACAGAAGTTAGCCGAGAATCTGCTGAACCTCTCAGGATTGTTTTGTACACATAATGATCAACTCTCACCTGCTGTATTTTGCTGTAAATGACGAGAGATTCCTCTTTTTCTTTTTTTTCTGCCCCTCAAGTTGTTCGAACGCATGCTGCGCTGCGACCGCGTCTACGAGAGGAACAAGCAGCGTTTACGCCTGAGGGAGGCAGGTTACGCCGGCCTGTCGCTGCTCTTCTCTGAACTCCACATCACTCCCACTCTGATCCGCTGCCTCCTCAACCAGGTCCTCCACACAGGTCGGATTTCCCCCTTTCCCCTTTCTTCTTTTAAAGACGCTCCTTGCATTGATCCAGCGTAGGATTGATCATTTAATCGATCAGTCTGTCTTTATTTGTCTCGCTGCTTTGATTTTCTTTTTTGCAGCCGCTTCATTATCCGCTCACATATGGTCCTTTGAGTTAATGAAATCAATCCTATGAGTCCTCAAGGAGCACCACTCATACTGATTGTTGTCATTGAACAGAGAAGCTGTGTTGATTCAGCTCCATGAATCACCTCATACATTTAACACTCAGTGTGTTCCCCTTTTTTTGTATTCTGGACAGATCACATGGTGAACTACAAAGACCTGATGTCTCTGGTCCAGCTCACGCACCGGGCCGGAGCGAGCGTGCGCCTCATCGTCTGCAAGAGGGTGAGCAAACACCTGAGACGTCTAAAACCTGCAGTTAGCACACTTTTAATTAGCAGCAGACACGGGAAACGAGCGATTGATTGGTATCGCCTGAAGCTTTCTACCCTTCTATATCCTCTCCTCTCTTTATGCTGGATTCCCTTCATCCATTATTTACAGACACACACACACACACACACACACACACACACACACACACACACACACACACACACACACACACACACACACACACACTGGGGCGTCTGTGAGTCAATGGGAGAGTCGTTCATCTCTCTTCCTGCAGTCACATGTTCAAGTATGAACGGTTGAATGTGACCTTTTTTAAAATGCATTGCTGGTTGAATTGGTGCAACCTGACTTCCTGTTGATAACTAAATAAAACAAACAATAACTGAGCAGCTACGAGATAGATAGATAGATAGATAGATACTTTATTGATCCCGAGGGAAATTCAAAGCATCCAGTAGCAGGTTACAAAGACGTACATGACATGAAACATTTGTTACAAATTAGCCACAAAACCGACCCCCCCCCCCCTCCAATACATATATATTAACCTGAAAAAAAGATTTAAAGAATCCCCCTAGATGAATCAAACTTAAACTGTGCAATTAAAAATAGACGTATACAAGAAATGTACATAACCCGTACAGGGATACAAATATATGTGTAATTTAAACAAGAATAGTTGAGGAAAAAAATCTGTAATTAGACCTGAATATAACAAAATAAAAAAAGTGTTGATCTTCTGAAGCTGTGTTGTTTATATATGTACAGCAATGTTTAAAAAGTAAATAACAGTCAGTGCAAACATTAAAGGTGTGATTTAAAGAAGCTAAGAAAACAGAGAAGTCATTCTTCATAGCTTCCCTAACTTCCCTCTTTTTCTTGTTCCATTATGATGGTTCACTGTCATGTTTGATCTGTTGATCTGTTTGTTTTTGTGTCAGCGCCCAATTAGCTCTGTGAGTGTTTATTTGTCTTGTTTTTGTAAGAAGACAGTTTGTTGAAATGAAACCTCCTCCTTTCCAAATACTCAAACTCCTGCAGCACAGGAGGAAACTGTTTATCTGGATGTTTCAGTTCTACATTTTGAGCAGATTGTTGAGTCATTAGCAGCCGAAGTTCAGCTTTGAAGATTGTCGGTCATGACTCTTCCTCCACAGGTGTCGTCAAACTTTCACCTTCCTCCTCTTCTGTCTGCAGGTGTACCAGCTGCTGCAGTCCCAGCAGGACGCCGCCGTCCAGATTTCAAAGCAGCGGTGTTGGCAGGACACTCTGATGCGTCTGTACCTGCGGGGTGAAGGCTCTTTACCGCTGCGGAGCGCCGACACCGTCAGCGCCTGCAGCCTGGATTTGAACCGGCCGAGCGGCGGCGGCTGCGCCAACCGCCTGGAGCTGCCGCTGGACAGGAGGGGGCGGGCGGGCAGCGCGGGCCGCCTCGACCGGCTGGAGGACGACCGCCTCAGCGTAGGCGACGCCCGCTCTGTGGACAGCATGGAGAACGGCGACGTCATCTCTCTGCTGGACACGCCCTCGTCCTCTGCCTCCGCGGAGCCGCAGCTACACGGCAAACCCTGGGTGGTGGGGAAGTCGGGGGGCTTGGTGCTGGATCTGTCACATCTGCAGGCCTACGAGGGAGCAGAGAGCGGCAGCCAAACGCCGGGCAGCATGCCCAGCACGCCATCGCCTCTCGAGACCTCAAAGCCCTTCCCAGGGGGCTCTGGGGACAGAGACGCGTCTTCCTCTATGACTGAGGACAGCTTCCTGTTCAGTGACAACATCTCACTGGGGGAGTCCTTCAACAATGCTGAGGTGAGACGGCTTCTGCAATATATAACGCTCCATTAATCCTGCAGGAATCATGTTTTTATTCACTACAATTTGGTGTCACTTGTCTCGTATCGTCCCTCTTCTTGGAGTTCTGTATCCCGCTGTGTTCCTCTTATTCAGCCTCTTAACTTCCATTTCCTGTGACTATCATTCATGTCATGAGCTCCGTTGAGAGAAGTCATGAAGTGGTGATGCAGTGAGTCAAATCTGTTGAAAGCGCTGTTAAATTACCATATTGACATTTCAATCAATCAATCAGTCAAACTTTATTTATATATAGCACCTTTCAGTTCAAAGTGCTTTACAAGAGTGCAGAAAGTAGCTTATAAAATCATTGAGAGACACCAATAAGAATTGAATCAAATAAAAATAAAACACGACACATAAAAGCAATAAGATAGTAAAATGAATACATAGAAAAATATTTAAAATTGGAGTGTAAAATAATGTTAAGATTTGAATTTATATAAAGCACTATATAAAAGCCAGACTGAATAAATGAGTCGACTTCTTTTACCTGCATGTAAACAGCTTTGCTCCATCTAAAGTACTTTTTTAAAATGTGAGATTAATATCACCTAAAATGAGCTTAAACAGTTTTAATTAAGTCTGTTAAAGGAGCCAGGTAGTAGAGCCTCCCCCCCGCTGTGTCTTTCTTTTATATAGTAGTCCACATCTTGAGGTTGCTTTAATTCTGCTAAACGGCGAGTGCTTCCAACTCAGCAGGTGAAAATGTCACCGCCACCTCAGGGAGCCCCAGCGCTGACTTTCATCTAATGGACTCTTTTTAGTCATTTGTTCCCAGAGGGGCCGAAATTGGACGAGAGACTACGGCCTTGTTCCCTCCCGCAGCAGCCCGGCTGTCAAATGTAGAATAAATGTTTCATTTTCAAAGTACCTCGAGCGCAGCGAAGCTTTTGAGATTAGAGTCGGGGATCATACTTAAACTGAGGTCTGTCACAAGGCTTCAAGAGGAATCATCATGCATTAAGTTCTGAGTTAAGGAATATTATCATCTGCACACAGGAGGTAACCTACCTTCTTCTTGTGTCATTTCATTTCTTTCCTGCATGCACTTTAACACTAGAGCAATTCAGTCTCTAATAACCCTCTTTCTGCTTCTTTGGTGTGATGTCTCCCTCTAGAGGGCAGAGGAGGAACTGTGCAACATGCTGCTGGAGATAGTCCTCTGTGTGATGTGGCGGGGAGTGGAAGGTTCTGATGACTCGGCGTGGCTGGAGCGCGGTCAGGTCTTCTCGGCGCTCACCAAACTCGGAACCGCCAACGAGCTGCTGCTACCCGTCGACCAAATCAAACTCAGGTCAGCCTTTTTTTTTTTTTTTTTTAATCCGCTACCAGACCATCTGAAATCAAGAACGAACGCCTTCCAGAGACAAGCTAGTGAACACTTTTCTGGGTTTGGGTTTCAGCTTAATGGAGCGCATGTTGGAGTGGGCGGTGAGCGATAACCGCGAGGCTTCGGCCGCCACGCTGCCGCAGCACACGGAGAACGCGGTGCGGCTGCTCCACGTGGTGCAGGACTTCCTGCAGGCGGAGGGCCTCGTCAATCCGGCTCTGTGGACGGAGAAGGTGCTGGAGGAGACGGTGACGCTCATGGACAGCCTCATGGTGTGGTACACGTCCGGCACCCAGTGGTTCCAGCTCTCCCAAGTGGGACTGAGGCTGCTGCTCGGCTTCATGGCGCAGGAGGACCCCGAGGTGAGCTAGTTTCACCAAATCGAACTCTGCCCTTTTTGTGTTTGTCCAATCACAACCATTCCAAATCCTTTGTGCTCAGGTTTGCGCCATGGCCACCGCCAAGCTCAACGGCATCCTGCAGACCAAAGAGGTGTCCAGCCAGGACGAGGCCTGCTACCTGCTGGGCAAGGTCGAGAGCATCCTGCGGCGCTCCATCCAAGAGCAGACCGAGGAGACGTACTCCTTCCTGGTTCCTCTCCTGCGAACGCTGCTCTCCAAAGTGCACCGCCTCCTCTACATGGAGCTGCACCTCCCCCAGCTCCCGGACACCAACGGCAGCCCGTCCTTCTTCGAGGACTTCCGGTTATACTGCGACTCACCTGAGTGGCGCGTCTACCTCGACAAATATGTACGTTGATCGACCTTTAACCCTGTACTTTAATTTATTGGATGTAATGCTAGTGTGTAAATTTAACTTTCTTCGCCTTTAGATTATTCCGTACATGAAGCAGTATGAGATTGAAACATTCAGCCAGGGTCACGAGACCATGGCTCTCTTCTGGAAGGAGTGCTACGAGGCCTTCATGGTCAGCCTGCACAAGCGGGAGCGGGAGAGAGGAGAGAGCAAGATCCGCTTCCAGGTAAAGCTGCATCCCCACCACAGGATCTTTTGATCAAATGTGTTTACTACCCCCACTGTTTCCACTGTAATAATGCAAATCACATGTCAATAATAACGCACACCATGTTGACTTCACGCTCAAACTCTTCTTCCAGGAGCAGTTTGTGGAGCCTTTCTCTCGCCGAGGACGACAGGAGAACCTGCGCTACAACAGCATGTTGAAGCAGCAGCACAGCCAGAACAGTGCCACCCTCAGGCAGTGGAAGGCAGCGCGCCGGGGTCTGGTGTGCGAGAGGGGGCCGTGGACCGAGAGGTACTGACATCGACTGTCTACTCCCCCACTGTTTCTCCTGATATAATTCAAATCACGTCAATATAAATGTTGACTGTATTGATGCGTACAAACTAGAAAAAAGTCCATTTGTGTGATGATGCAGTCCAGATAAAGATAATGTCTGTCCATGGTGTTTGCTCCCATATCTAACAGGCAGCAGGATGAGATGCACTGGAGGGTGTCGAGTGCTGAAAACTTCTCCCGCATGAGGCTGAAACTGGTCCGAAATTACAACTATGACCCGCACCGAGAGGCCAGCGCTCTGAGAGACAACCTCGGTGAGACATTCTTGCTCATACTCACGATCTTTGATTCAGTCTCTCCATTGTTTACTTGAATATTTACATCAGAGCAAAACTCCAAAATATCCTCAAGAGATTTAGCTCGATTTGACAAAGTGCCCGCTCCTCCTCAGTGAAAAGACGTGATGATGAAGTGTGTGTTCAGAATGATATAACCAGACTCATCCAGCATGTCCTTATTAAACAGATTAGGAAAGGGCTGCCATTGAAAATCCTCTTTAAGCCGAATGTATGTCAAACCCTTCCATCGCCTGTATGATGATGCGCTGTGCTTGTTTGTTTGTTTTTCCTTAGTCAGGGCGCAGATGACCTAGTGGTTAGGTCGCGTACTGCTGCGCTCATTTAGACTTTATCAGGGGAACCAATACTTGTGGGGGGGCATCCAATGATCACACTTAAAATACCATCAATGATAGAATCTGAGACCTCCTGGCAAATGTCGGCCATGTTTTAATGAAGGGAGATCTTCCACTTCTGGATTTTGGCTCATTTTCAAATGATATGCCCCAAGGTTGCATCTTCTTCCTGAATATTTCAAACATAAGCAACTATTTTTTTTTTCAAACACCGATCTTACACTTCAAATGGGAAATATTATGAAATATCCACTTTTACTTTTTGAACATTTATTTGGGTAACCTGAGTGTCTACTGACCCACAAAATGTGAAATAAACCCATCCAGTCCTTTGTTTGTGGTCTGCATAAGTCTTACAACACAGAGAAAAATGCTCCGTTTCAAATGTGCTCTCCTTGTGATGTCACAGTGGGATTCTGGTAAAAATAATCCCCTCCCCTCTCCTGGTATCTCCCCCCATGGACTCCACCCCCAGACTAGAACAAAACTTTTTTTCTCGCTATGGAGGAGTGATGTCTGCCGGGGAAAACTCAGGGGGGGGGTCATTGCATTTAAAGAGACACACACACCAAAACAGAGCGTTCTGAGAGAGCTGGTTTATACAGGCTCACAAACCTCCTCTGGTGCTTGATTCATGTTATATTTTGACCAAAGCACAGCACAGATGTTTCATTCAGACCACAGGGGACTGTTAGAAAAAGTGGAGAAGGGGGATAATATGTCCTCTTTAAGTTTTTTTCTGAGATTAGATCTCTCATGCTCCTTCGGGTCTGCCTTCATGCTGTGCGTTCGCTCTCTTAATCTAAATTTATATTTTTTAATAACGAGACGCTAGCGGGAGTGTTGCCGGAGCTAATGAAACCACCTGGCGTGCGTCAAAATGAAAATAAATTTAGAAAATCTATTTAAGTTTGGAAGAGGAGGAAACCAAAAAAAAGGATTGATTCCAGTCCTGGCATATTAGCTGGAACTCCTTGTTTGGATGCCTCGTGTGACTTTTAAAGCTCCTCCTGTCTTCCTCGTCTCGCCCAGGTGTCCATCAGCAGCGTGTGCACTCGGACTCTCTGCTGCTGGAGGCTGTGAAACAGGTCAAAGTCAGCGACCTGGAGGACGACATCCTAGAGCTGCCGGAGGACGACCCTGCTGCCGCCAATAACCAGTCAGTCCCTGCATACAACCACGGCATTGAAGCATTCATCACTAAAGGTCATGATTTACATCCTCCTGTGTCTTTGTCAATGTCGTGCAGAGTGGAAGCAGAGGAGGCGGGCCAGAAGGAGAAGCTGGTGCTGTGGGAGGACTGCGAGCTGGTGACCGTGGTCGACGTGGTTCCAGGCCGCCTGGAGCTCACCACCCAGCACATCTACTTCTATGACAGCAGCCAGGAGAAAGAGGAAGGTGAGGCCAGACGTGAGAGAGGAAGATGAGAAGATTTAGTTTAAAAAAAAAAAAAAACGTTCTCTTACATCATCTGTGTTGTCTTCCTGAAAGGAGTGGGCCACGACTTCAAATGGCCCCTGTCTCAGATCCGAGAGGTCCACCTGCGCCGGTATAACCTCCGCCGCTCGGCTCTGGAGATCTTCCTCATCGACCAGACCACTTACTTCCTCAACTTCAAGAAGGAGACGAGGAACAAGGTGTACAGCCGCATGCTGATGCTGCGGTCCCTGAGCCTTTACGGAACCAGATCGCCGCAGGAGCTCCTCAAAGCTTCTGGACTCACACAGGTCAGGACAGCGCACTCTCACATCAAAAAAGTCAAATCCACTTATAACTTAGTCATGTATATTAACACATCATGTATCTCATTTTATAGTGGATCATTCAAAAATAATTGATTTGATTGGCTTTGTCTCCCAACATGTGTCCTCTGGTTGGTTCTTTTACATTCACATATTATCCTCCTCTTCAACCAGTTTAAAAACCGTCTCAGAGCTCCCCGAAACATGCTTGTGACTATTTCAGCCCTGCTCAGAACGTCTTGTTTCTGTGTCTGTAGCTTTAAATATGTAAATGAGCTGTGTCTGACCACGCCCCCTCTCTGGAAGGGCTCGGGCTTTCTCGCTCCATGTCCTCTTATTTAAGTTGAGAAGGCAAGACTCAGAGGGCAGAACTAACACCTAGCTGTGGGAGTGTCACCCACTTGTGGGAGGGGCTACTGCCCTTTGTGATGTCATGAAGGGAAATAATATGTGAACTTCTTCTTCTTCTTTTTTTTACAGAAATGGGTGAACAGGGAGATCTCCAACTTCGACTACCTGATGCAGCTCAACACTATCGCAGGCAGAACGTACAACAACCTGGCTCAGTATCCAGTGGTATGCTCCTCCTCCTCTTTTTTTTGTTAAAGGCAGAGTTTTCTAATTCTAGCTCCCTTCCCCGCTCTGGGCTCCTTCAAACGCCACGGTCCTCAAACGCATGCAAGAACGCCGCCGGACTACAACTGCTTCATAACAGAGCAGAGGGTGGAACCTCAGCGTAGTGCTTTCAACTCTATTCATCGGTGTTACCTCATGTGTCATGTGTCCGGACAGCAGCTGGAGATTTACAAGATTTATTGATTGCCGACCGCTTTAACGACTATGGATCAAATGATCAACACCTACCTTCAACATCCTGCTGAACATTTATGGTTTGTAGATTGATGTTAATAATTGAACTAAATTGTGAACTGTGTGTGTGTGTGTGTGTGTGTGTGTGTGTGTGTGTGTCTAGTTTCCCTGGATCCTAGCCGACTACACCTCAGAGGAGCTCGACCTGTCGGACCCTCGGGTTTTCCGGGATCTGTCCAAACCCGTGGCCGTTCTCAACGAACGTAACGCCAAGGCGGTTCGAGAGAAGTACGTTTCAACTGTTTTGAAAAAAAAAATTCAACTTCAGTCAAAACTCTAAAAGAATTTAAATGATAAAACAAGAAATTGCTGCCCAACAGGTATGAAAGTTTTGAGGACCCTACGGGCACCATCGACAGGTTTCACTACGGCACACACTACTCAAACGCAGCCGGTGTGATGCACTACTTAATCCGAGTGGAGCCCTTCACCTCGCTACACATCCAGCTGCAGAGTGGACGGTACTGCAACACCTTCTATACAAATATATCTATATCTATATAAAATACCCTTTGTTCATTTGGATTCATTCAACAGTTTTTGTTTGTTTGTTTGGATCCCCGCCTTACCTCATATCTCTGCCTCTGCTCAGGTTCGACTGCGCCGACCGCCAGTTCCACTCCATCCCCGCGACGTGGCAGACCCTCATGGACAACCCCAACGACGTCAAGGAGCTCATCCCCGAGTTCTTCTACTTCCCAGAATTCCTCGAGAACCAAAATGGTGAGCGGTTAAACGAGCATCCTCTACAAATCCTCGTCATGCATTTCCTGAATGACGTCACAAAATGCCTCCTTTTGATTCTCCTGGAGTAATATTTAGCTTCTATCTTTCCCTTTCTATTTATTTCTGTCACCAGGCTTCGATTTGGGTCGCCTGCAGATCTCTAAGGAAAGGGTAAATGATGTCGTTCTGCCGAAATGGGCCAAATCCCCGGAGGACTTTATCTACAAGCACCGCAAAGCCCTGGTGAGAAGCAGCTCTAGAAGGACTTTGTTCTTAAGGCAGGGGCGTGTCCAGAGGTTTGTCCAGGGGGGTCCCCCCTTAAATTCTGATTGGCCACCCCAAAATATAAATCTGTGATTGGTTAATATGCCAATTCTGAGGCAGGACTTAAGTACAAATCAACTATACATGAAAAATCTGGACACGCCCCTCCTGTCTGGGAGAATTCTGGTGAGATAAAGAAAGATATTGAATGAACTCTAATGATCACCATGACCTCGACATCAGCAGCCATGTGTGTGTTTTTTTTTTTTTTGTTTTTTTTTACTGTGTTTGTTTTTGCAAGCGCACAACTATATTGTTTATTTCTACGTTTTAACAGGAGTCAGAGTACGTCTCGGCGCACCTCCACGAGTGGATCGATCTGATCTTCGGCTTCAAGCAGAGGGGCCCTGCAGCCGTGGAGGCTCTAAACGTCTTTTACTACTGCACATATGAAGGTGAAACGTCCAGAACCGCTGCGACTATCTCACTGCACATCAGTGTTTATCAGACGTTCATTTTTCTCCCTCAGTTGTTGGAAATATTTAATGTGGAGCGAATGTCGACTAAACGTGTGTTCCTTTGTTTGTTATTATTGTGGATTTTTAATGTGTTTTTGTGTCGCAGGGGCCGTGGACTTGGACGCCATCACTGACGAAAAGGAGCGTAAGGCCGTGGAAGGAATGATCAGCAACTTTGGACAAACACCTTGCCAGTTACTCAAGGTGAAGACAGAAATGACCGTGATCTAGGAACGCAGTTATTGTTCTTAATGCTCTTTTTTATTGATTTTATTTTCTGTGGTATCTCATTTTGTTTAACTCGTTGTTTCTCATTTATGAATGTTTTCTCGGCATCATTGTAAATGAGCGTCGCCCTCAATGACCTCTCCGAGAACTTAGATAAAGGTTGATGATGATGAGGATGATAACTCATTTTGACTTGTCGACGTGTGTGTGTGTGTGTGTGTGTGTGTGTGTGTGTGTTTAGGAGCCCCACCCTGTGCGTCTGCCTCAGGAGGAAGTGGAGAAGCGGAAGGCTCAGCTGGACTCGTGTCCCCTCAGCATGTTCGAACACCTCAGCGACCTCAAGTCCTTCTTCGTGGAGGTTTGATCTCTCACATGGTCATTAGAAAATATGTGAATCTGCTGAAACATCTCAGGAGCACAGACGTGGACATGAGGGACAATAATCCATTGAAAGTTTCTTGTTAACTGTCACAGATTTTTCAAATTAACACATCAAATACGACTAAAATATCATAGCGTCTCAATGCAATTTGAGCCGACTTTGCCTTTAATTATCTCTAAAACTATACAGTAAAAGTCTGCTGGAACGTCTCAGGGCCACAGACAGCGACCTTTCAATAATCCATTGATATGTCTCGTTAACTGTAATGGATTTTTCAAAATAAAAGATCAAACATGACTAAAATATCAAATACACAACGAAAAAAAAAGAAGCAGAAAACGAGACTAAAACTGTCTGAACTAACTTGGTGTTATTATAATGATCTTATCTCTTGTTCACGCTGTAGGGCATCAGTGACAATGTGCCGCTTGTTAAGGCCGTGGTGCCAAAGAATCAGTCGCATTCCTTCATCACCCAGGGGAGCCCGGACACCATGGTGAGCTCTTCATCTTTTCATCACTTTAATTCGATTTTTCTGCTTTTCTGAGATGTGGAAAAATTATAAGAAAAAAAAGATTCACTGAGTGGATTTCGGTGTGTGCATTGTCTCTAGGTTACTGTGAGTAAAAACTGCCTGGTTGGAACCCATGGGTGGCTGCCTTACAACAAGAACATCTCCAACTACTTCACCTTCATAAAGGATCCCACCGTGTCCAACAGCAAGTAAGAAAGAACACGTCTTCTGACGCTCTCCATCACTCTGTCATCGCCCCTTTTTGCATTGACTTCCTCCTCTCTTCATCGTCACTCAGGACGCAGCGTCTCCTCTCCGGGCCCTTCGCTCCAGGCGTGGAGGTCACGGCGGGGCTGTTCGTCGTCTCCCACGATGGGAAGCTGCTTTTCAGCGGTGGCCACTGGGACAACAGCCTGCGGGTCACCTCGCTGGTTAAGGGCAAGACTGTGGGGCAGCACATCCGACATATGGGTAAAAACACACACACACGCTGTGCATCAGAGGAGAAAAGTCGGAAAGCATTTTGACTTGGGCCACGTCCCAAATCTTGCAACGTTTCTCGCTGTCAAACTCGACTTTCGAGTGAAATAAACATGGCAGCCGACGGGCGGTTTTTAGACCTGAAAATTCACAATGAAAGGTGGATTAAAAAACATGAAGCATGCACATGTACATGTTAGAGTGTGAGCTGGAGGTGAGTTTAAAGATAAATATACAAGGTCAGGGGTTTGATCCCCAGCTCCTGCAGCCACGTGTCCGATGTGTCCTTGGGCAAGACGCTTAACCCCACGTTGCTCCAGCTGCTTCGTCTGAATGAGCTACACAAGCTCAAGTCCATTTACCTTCAGGAAATTTGAGTGTCTTCCATTGTTGTACATGTTTCCTCTATTCTCTTACTCTGTTCATCTTGTGTTTCCACTTCCCCCTCCAGACATCGTGACCTGCTTGTCAACAGACCACTGTGGCATCCACCTGATCTCCGGCTCCAGAGACACAACCTGCATGGTGTGGCAGGTCCTGCAGCAGGTCAGGACAACCATCATTGATTACTTCAAAAAAAAACTGAAAATAATCATCTTTGTTTTGATGCACTGGTAGTAAAGGGGAAGTAGTCTTTTTTTCAATTTGAGGATTATTGGGTTTGATTTGTTTCCTCAGGGAGGGGCTCCTGTGGGTCTTCATCCCAAACCGGTTCAGGTGTTATACGGACACACAGACGAGGTGGTCAGCGTCAGCATCAGCACAGAGCTGGACATGGCTGTGTCCGGATCCCGGGTAAGAGCACATTCCCACGAGTCATCGGTCCAATCTCCTCTGAGTAAAAGAACGACGCTGCAACCTCGTGCCCTCTCAAAACGATTCAATCACATGCTTTGTTTGTGAAAAAAACAACAAGTTAAGACTCTCACACAGTGTCCTGAATGTGTGTACAGTACGGGTGTTTGAATGTAAAGAGATTTACAGGGTTTTAAACATTTTGTAATGTTGGGTTATTCAGTGGCTTTAAATACCATTAATTAGCAGTAACAAGACTTATGCACCTTAAGCAGCAGCAAAGGTTACAATGCAAGTTCCAGTTTCTGTAATTTTGCTGGAAATTAAATAAATACTGAGGCTTTTCTTGAAACGTTTTCAGCTGAATGGAACTTTTTCTCTTTACAGAAAGTTGTACAGTCATGATTGATTAGAAGCTTGGAAGCTAAATGGCATATCTGATAAATTATTGTCTTTTCCTTGTTGCTGATTTAGTAAATGTGAGGTACAGCTCATGATTTAAGGGCTCTGAAACTCTGGTGCCAGAGATTGTTTGTTTTAGTTTTTTCTTTTGCAATGCATCTTCAGACCCCCCTTTTAGTAGCTCGCGACCCCCCCGTGGGGTCCCGACCCTCACTTTGGGAAACACTGTTTTTTTGGGGGGGGTGGGGGGGGTTTCCCCACAAAGAGCTACAAAGCTGTTTGAAATGTGTTCTCTCACTCTGTGCTGCAGGACGGGACGGTGATCATCCACACGGTGCGTCGGGGTCAGTACATGCGTTGCCTGCGGCCTCCCTGCGACAGCTCCCTGCCGCTCTCCATCCTCCACCTCGCCGTGTCGTGGGAGGGTCACCTGCTGGTGCACACCTGCGTCGAGGGCAAAGCGACACTCAAGGTGCACACGCAGGGTTTTTTTTTTTTGGATCTTGTAATTAGAAACAGACAAAGAGACAGCTATATATGGAGGCTGTAGTCCTCAAAGCGGGCGGACCAGGTTCAAATCCAGCCGCACAGCCATTGCACTCTCAGCACCACCGAGGAGAGAGAGACGGGGAGAGATGGAGAGAGAGAGAGAGAGAGGGGGGGAGAGAGAGACAGAGAGAGAGAGAGAGAGCGAGAGGGGGGAGAGAGAGACAGAGAGAGAGAGAGAGAGAGAGGGAGAGAGAGACAGAGAGAGAGAGAGAGAGAGGGAGAGAGAGACAGAGAGGGAGAGAGAGAGAGACAGAGAGAGAGAGAGGGGGAAGGAGAGAAAGACCATTCAGGTCACATAGAAGCTGGATGATGCAAACTTGTACAGAGTGGCTGTGATTGGCTAGCTAACACTAATTGTTTTTTTTGACTCAGGCTGAATGATTTTTATTTATTTATTTATTTTCATACCTGGAAAGGGGCGGGGCTTACATTTATTTTTATTTATGTTTCAACTGTCAACTTTACTCTGACCCAAAATGTCCTGAACTGAATATTTGAATCACTCAGTATTCTTTTTTTTTTTCTTCTTCCCAGGATAAAAACGCTCTCCATCTTTATTCTGTGAACGGGAAGCACCTCTGCAGCGAGCCCCTGAAGGAGCAGGTGACTGACATGTGTGTGTCAGGGGAGTACGTGGTCATCGGCAGCGAGCAGGGTTACCTGTCCATCCGAGACCTCTACAGGTAACGTCTTCAGTTCTTCGCTAGTCTGAAAGAAGCCTTCATGCATAAACATATAACGTCTCTATCTTCCCTCTCTGTAGTCTCTCTCTGAGTATAGAACCGATGGCCATGCGTGTGCCTGTGCGTTGTGTCGCCGTCACCAAGGAGCAGAGCCAAGTCCTGGTGGGCCTCGACGACGGCAAGCTGATCATCATCGGAGTGGGCAAGCCGGCAGAGGTAAAGAACTCGCTGAGGAACTACATCGCGCAGAGCCTGGAGGGATCGCAGCTCATGGCCTCCCCTCTGCTGGCGCCGCTCCGGGCTCGCTCGCCGACCCGCCTGCTGCACCAGCGCGACCAGCTGGTTTTCACCGCCGCCTCCTCTAGCACCCTCAAACCCTAAGCAGCTTCCAAGCTCCCTCCCCTCTCTCTGACATCACCGCGCACGTCTGACACACGCCGATTAACCGCCGTCACCTCTCCTTCTCAGGGATGGTCGTTCCCCCCACGGTCACACCTCGCACGCACACATTTTAAAAAAAATCTCGCCATTCAGAGTGAACACATTCCGAGCAGAGAACTGTGACAACTCATCCTGCTTACCTCATCCCTGTATGTTCCCAAGATCCGGCATCTGATCAATATTTGACTTGATTTGGCCGTCGACCTTGGATAAGCTCCGCCCCCCTGCTGTTTTACTTAAAGTGTCATGACGTGTACAAATATGCTGTGAAACAAACGTATAAACGCTTCTGCAAACTCAAGCCATACTAACAATGTAGCTACAACCTACTAATGCAAACTAACAACGCAGCGCCGAGATAGACTTCAGTGTTTTAGAATAGAAATATAAAAGTAAGCGTAGGGGTCAGAGGTCGATGCAGGTTTGAATCACCGCACTGTTCATCGTTTCTGTTCAGATTGAATCGAGCTTGAGTTCCTTTGATTTCACTTTTATTGCTTCAACACTTCATGAGTAAATCAAAGCTCAAATGATCTAATCGATCGCTCATGAATCATATCCCTCCTCCTTTTTTTTCCCCCTGTTTTCTTTTACTTCACGCTTTTCTTTCCTCCTCCCTCCCCTCCTCTTCCTCCTCCTCCTCCTCCCTCCCCTCCTCTTCCTCCTCCTCCTCCTCTTCCTCCACTCTTCCCAGATGCGTTCGGGCCAGATCACAAGGAAGCTGTGGGGCTCCAGGAGGGGACTGACCCAGATCTCCTCGGGGGAGACGGCCTACAACACCTAAGCGACCGCGCCCACCCGACTCTCCCTGAGCCCTGCACCACCCGCCCCCCCTCCCCCTCCCCTCTCCCCCCTCCATGCACATCCCCACATTCCTGTCGTCCTGTTTGCCTTCATACCTGTCAATCACCACACAACATTGTGAGCGTCACAGACTCTTTTCATCGTCCTCATGTCTGTTTTTGTTTTCTCGTACGTTCTGGATCGGACAAACAAGCGCTGGCGCTGGCGTTTAAATCCAGAAGGAACTTCGCATGACTGCCAAACACCGCATCTTCTCTCCTGATTAAGTTGTCCTGATCAGCTCAAATCTGACATCAGATCACTTTGTGTGTGTGTGTGTGGTGCATGTGCAGGACAATACCATTCTCTGTCTCAAAAATATATTTTCAAGTGGCCTTTTTTTTTTTTTTTTTTTTGAAGGCGGATCCCGTCTGTGATCTCCTTACAGCCTTTATGCAGTACAACCGCTCCATCACTCACAAGACCAAACTGTCTGCCTTCTCCTCTGCGTTTTATAAATGTGTATACATGTGCGCGAGGGATTCTTTTTTTTATCATCTGTTTCGTTTGTTTGTTTTCTGCACGTGCCGATTAACATGGCGTCTGTTTGTACGCGGTGCGTTCATGGTCCATTCTGAGATTAGGCAGCACGCTGATGGAGAGATTTTTGACACTGTCTTTGTTTTGAAGATAGCCTCTGTGTCATCCGTCTCACACTACATTCTTAAACAGAAGAAGCTTCTACTACAGCAGTAAAGAGAAGAAGAATTGTTTTTAAGTTACTTGAAGAGAAAAAAAAAAAGACGTTTATTTATTTGTAGCAGTTTTTTTAAGATCACATTTTGAATACACACTAATATGTTATATGTCAAACTCCTCAGACTGTTCTGTAAAAGAAGGAGAAAGAAGAAATCCTCAAGGGCTTTTTGAGATGTCAGCGTTCACAGCAATACAGCTCCGATGGCTGTCGATGCTTTCTTCCTGTCGTTTTCCCGCCCCTAAGCCCCGCCTCTATCTCTTGTCTTCCTACAGTAGAATCGCCCCTCCCTCCCTCTAGCCTCAAACTGTCACCACATGTTGTTTTTTCTACATCTCATCGTCATTCCTGCTCATCGTGAAGCGACCGATTTTAGAGATTTAAGTCGCTAAAATATTGTCTGTGTGTGTGAATCGGAATTCTACGATATCCGACTAACACAAAAAGAGCCACAGTATGAAGCTCCTGTGGATCAGACTGTGTGATTGGTAGATAGTTTTGCACCATAACTGTGTGTGTGTGTGTGTGTGTGTGTGTGTGTGTGTGTGTGTGTGAGAATATGCAATTGAGGCATGTTTATTTTTTTATAGCCAAATTCTTTGTATGTTTCTGATTCTGTGAACCTGGCATTTTTTTTTTTTTTTACATGATATTGTAATTATTTAAATGTCACAGAAAGCAAAACGGCCAATCTGTGTTCTTTCTGTAAAAAAACATTTTTTCTTTCATTCACCCTTGTGTGTTGTTTCCGACAAAAAGACCACTGTTTGAGTTGTTCCACAGCTGCAACAAACGGAGTGCCTTTACTATCCCAGTGTGTGATCGACATAGAGCAAGGTTCCTCTCATCGCTGACGCTTACAGTACGACTCCCCCCGACTTCCTCGTCCAATCGAATCAATGCAGCATTCCAGAAGTTTAACCCTCCACCACCGAGAGGAACTTGTAGGACTCAGAAGCGAAGTACTATTTTTGTGTCTTAGCAGCGTTCTCTGTGACTGTCACCAAATGGATGTGTGTATATCTGTGATTATTTATGAATACGGTATATAATGTACAGCATGATTTTTATTTCAGCGTATTTGAAAAATGTACTTTTTGCACTTTCCAGGTACTAAATTGTAACAAATTGTTTTAACTTGCCTCCCTAATCTGTACAAACTGCTTTGTATACACAGGTGGAAAAACGATCATTAAAGTCTTGTCTAAATTTAAACATGGTTTAAACACATTTTTTTATTGGCTGTGGCTCAGTGGTACTCGGGTACTCTTGCAGTCACATGTCCGATGTTTCCTTTAACCCTGTTTCCACTAAGCGGTCTGGTTTGGTTCAGTACAGTTCCCCAACACCTGACCCCAAGAGGCCTAACCCAAGCAGACGATGTGACAATCTGGACTCTGCCATCAGTGTGTGAATGTGTAGGTGTTACCTGCGATGTAAAAGCACTTTGAGTAGTTACTTCTTTTAACTTTGTTCAGTTGTAAAAAAAAAAAAGAATAATTCAAACTGATGTAATATGCCAGGTTTATTCAAGAGAACACAGATAATTCAGTGGCATCCAAAACGAATGGAAACTTGTTTGTAGGAAGGATGAACCACCTTCTTAATGCTGTGTTTCTTCATGGTTTTCATGCAGTGATCGGGTACGAGCAGATGGACGCTCTCTTCAGTTCACAGTCGACCGCAGTCCACCAGCTCTGATCTGCAAAAACAGGGGTGTAGGGACAGTTTTAAAAAAAAGACAAAGTGGATCACCTAACGACCCTTAGGTATAGCCTCAGACCTTCTCCAATGAAAATGTTCAGGTGTTCTAAAGGGATTTTCCCAGTTGCCCTTTGTGCCACAGGGCAAAGATACCCTCATTCAGGTTAATATTTTAATATCTTATCCACTTTCCATGACACAGTCAGAGACTTATCTAAGCTCGTAACCTTTGAATGAAAAGTGCTGTTACATCAGTGTTACTTAATAAAGGTCAAGACTGTTTCATAATCGCTGTAATTGTTAAAGGTAATCAATTTTGAACCTATACTAGTTGGAGCTACAACACACCTCACCAAGTGTTGGTTTCAGGGTTTAATGATCAAGAGTCCACACTCGCCCCCTCCAATGGTCAGATATATTAAATATAAAATGAGATCTTACCTATCTTGAACATCTCCACACAAACAGGTTTATCAGTGTGAATGTTGGGGTGACCCGGCATCCAGTCGCTGTATTTCCACTCTGACCCATCCACCCATGATGCCTCCTGATTCTGAGGTGTGCAAAACCAACAACACGTGTACAGTTTTAGAAAAATATGCACTTATATAAGCTGGAGTAGTTGCAAAAAAATGGCCCCTTTACACTATTGCGCTAAAGAAAGGGCTCAGGGTTGTTCATACTTTGAAGTCCAGGAACAGATGGAACATGTTAAAAGAAAAGGTTGAGGGGTCAATGTTCTACCAAGGTAAGAATAACACTATCTATCTTGTTGATACCATATCAGATGACACTCTCCTTGGCCTGAACGCTGTGTAAGAGTTGTTCCCAATGTGCTGGCGTCGTAGTTAGTAAGCACATAGAAAAGCAAAAAGCAGCTAAAACAGAATTCTTTGTTTCTGAAATTAAAAATGGCTTAAAAAAAAAAAAAAAAGGTATACTGTCAATTCAGTTGTATTTTTTGGGCGGGAAAAGGAGACTGGGTACTGGTGCCAGACATTGTCTGGCAAAATAAAAACAGGGTCACTGATGAGAAGACAAACTTGCCTTGACCATGCCTCCCAGCCAGGTCAACATGGGGTTACTCTCACCACCTTTGGTCACCAGGGAGACCAGGCGTGAATGCAGATCGCCATTTGTTACAGATGCAAGCTCAGCATTTGGCGCAAGAGCTCTGCATAAGTCCTGGAGAACAAATACAAAGAAAATATCTTTGTAAGATTTCATGTGTAAAGCAATGAACAGTCAGAATTTAAGGATTAGGGTTAAAGTTTTAGTATTTCTGATATGGGCTGAACCAATGAAAGTTCACAAGGCTGAAAACAGCTCCTCTATGAAAAGTACAGTTTCTAACCTGTGCATCCTGAAAGGCAAGTGGTGTGGGGTTGAACTCGTAGCAGTTTCCATTGATGACCTCCCCTTTACATGCCACAGTCTTTGTTTGGAACCTGGAGGTGGAGCGTTCAGTTCCCTGTCTGAAACCGTCTGGGATGGTCTTAACGGGTTCTGTTCCCTGTCTGAAACCTTCTGGGATTGATCTCATGGGTTCTGTTCCCTGTCTGAAACCTTCTGGGATTGATCTCACGGGTTCTGTTCCCTGTCTGAAACCGTCTGGGATGGTCTTAACGGGTTCTGTTCCCTGTCTGAAACCGTCTGGGATGGTCTTAATGGGTTCTGTTCCCTTTCTAAAACCTTCTGGGATTGATCTCATGGGTTCTGTTCCCTGTCTGAAACCGTCTGGGATGGTCTTAACGGGTTCTGTTCCCTGTCTGAAACCTTCTGGGATTGATCTCATGGGTTCTGTTCCCTGTCTGAAACCTTCTGGGATTGATCTCACGGGTTCTGTTCCCTGTCTGAAACCGTCTGGGATGGTCTTAACGGGTTCTGTTCCCTTTCTAAAACCTTCTGGGATTGATCTCATGGGTTCTGTTCCCTGTCTGAAACCGTCTGGGATGGTCTTAACGGGTTCTGTTCCCTGTCTGAAACCTTCTGGGATTGATCTCATGGGTTCTGTTCCCTGTCTGAAACCTTCTGGGATTGATCTCACGGGTTCTGTTCCCTGTCTGAAACCGTCTGGGATGGTCTTAACGGGTTCTGTTCCCTGTCTGAAACCGTCTGGGATGGTCTTAACGGGTTCTGTTCCCTTTCTAAAACCTTCTGGGATTGATCTCATGGGTTCTGTTCCCTGTCTGAAACCGTCTGGGATGGTCTTAACGGGTTCTGTTCCCTGTCTGAAACCGTCTGGGATGGTCTTAACGGGTTCTGTTCCCTGTCTGAAACCGTCTGGGATGGTCTTAACGGGTTCTGTTCCCTGTCTGAAACCATCTGGGATGGTCTTAACCGGTTCAGCTCCCTTTCTGAAACCTTCTGGGATTGAGCTCATGGGTTCTGTCCCCTGTCTGAAATCGTCTGGGATTGATCTCACGGGTTCTGTCCCCTGTCTGAATCCAGCTGGGATGGTCTTAAGGGGTTCTGTTCCCTGTCTAAAACCATCAGGAAGACGATTATCAGAGGGTTCCTCCACACGGACCCAACCATTACCATTCTTCTGGGCTGGAACATCCAGAGCTACTGAAAGACATAATGCTGAGTCATCACTATGCTAGCTGCTATGTGATGCTACATATTGCAAACTGTTGCTGCGGCCTCAGGTCTAACATCAGCATATGAACATGCTTACATGCAGAGTTTAAGTTCACTATTTAACTTTTTCATGCAAGCACTTTGACATGCTAACATGCTAATTAGCACTATGACACTGACGATAGCATCATTTTTCAGCAGAATCTAAATCTTAATGTCTAATGTGATGCTAGTACTCAGGTAGCATGTTGGTATGTCCTCATTGATGAAGTCTGAAAGAACTGATGAATACATTTTGATTACAATTTTACAATTACGACAGTTTTAGTCCTGTGTGTGCTCACCCTCCTCCATTGGCCGGTGGCTTCGCTTCATCTCTCCAAATCCTTTTCCCTGAGAAGGAAGCATGATATCTAGAAAAGGAAATATGCACATGATGAGAAACAAAAAAAAATGCTTTGCAAGGCTCCTGATATGTATTATTTATGGAATTGTTTGGCTAATACCCAATAAACTGCTCAAATTACACAAATTACCCAAAAAGGAAGCAAAATGGGTTCAAGCCATAAAGCTTTGTTGATATTCTTACCAACTCTCCTGTCCATCTCACTGATGTAATCCTGCACTAGGCCGGTGTTGAGGTTAACGATGAACCTCCTGGAGGGCTCGGTACCTTGTCGGAAGTCGTGAGGAATCGGCTTACGGGTGTCAGAGTGTTCAGTGCCCTGTCGAAAGCCATTAGGCAGCTGGTAGGTGGAAGCTGACTTCTGCAAACTTTTAGGGCTTGCGAGTGGGGCAGCCTGGAGGCCTGTTTAGGATTCAATAAATTGTTCTTACATAAATATAAAAATGTTGCCTTTTTTATCAATTATTAACTGTGCCAGAATCATTTGTAGGCCAAAGCTGTTCGGTAATAAATCAAAGTCTAATTTCTGCAGAGATTAAATGTTCTCATTACACAGACGTTTGCCGCGGTTATCTTTTCTGTTGCCAAGAAACAAAGCCACAATTATGCAAGACAAGGCCAAGATTATCTAACTCAAATTTATAGTCCTTCATTAAGTTGAACATGTCGATCAATGTCCTAATTTTGAAGCTACAAAGTTGAAATTATGACGTCAACTTTTTTTTAAAATTGGGATTCTGAGATTTCTTTGTGATTGCCAGGAATCAAACAATCAAGTTATGATCCCTCATAACAAGCTGTCGCCGTGTTCTATATTAGCTCAGTTTTAACATTAAAAAAGCAGGATAATAAAGCTCCATGCCCCCTTTGTGATTAAATGTATTCAGTATAAAAATCTAACACTGTCAAGTTTGCATGATTAAGCGTTAATATTCTGTTTTTAGGATAACACAAATGCTCACAATCACATCATCTGCATATCGAAGCATCCAATAATTCATGGTGCAAGCGTTAAGGTGTTTTCTAATTCAGAATGATTGCATTAAATGTTTGAAAGGAAAACAGAGAGGACTTACCTGACACAGTCAGGAGTAGCAGCGCTAACTTGAGCATCCTGTCAACACAAGAACAAACAAGAGAAAGCGTTAACAGAAGTTTTAGTCGCACTTAAATTGATATTTTCTTTTTTTCTCCTCTCCCAGTTCTGCACAATCAACTGGTAATCTGGAAACAGAGAAGGTGTGTCTGTTTGTGTTGCTCACCTGAGACAGTAGCAATGAACACTGAGCCACTGAGCACAAACAGCTTCCCATTAATATACCCACCGCCTCAGCCATAAAGCCATAATGAGGTTATTGATTTATAGGTTATTGAGCACAGATACCACAGCAGATAAAAAGGTATAAACTGTGATGACCTTTGACGTGAAGTAGTCATCACTCAAAAGGGTCAGTGTTACATGACATGCTACACTGAACACAACATGTTTTCTCGGTCTTGTTCATGTATTTGAGGTGAATGGCACTCGGTTTAATCAAGGGGTGGCTCAATCAATATTTTTGAACATTGCCAGAGAGCGGAGAGGACAACACATGTGAACATGGCGTTCACAGAAGTTTGGTTTAAGGGTAACTTTTTTGGATTCATTTTCAGAACTTCATGCAACTTAAACACAAAGATGTATGAAGGAATGCAAGGGGACCCCTGGTTCCCATTTTCAAAGCAATATCAACAGATTTGGAAAAATTACAATTTTCAGGTTTCAAAAGGTGTTTTATCAAAGTTACAGTCCAAAGATAACATGATCTTTTATCAGTTCTTCATGGAAGACTTCCTAAATGTAATTCTGTGTCTAGCTCCATCTGCTGTGTTTGCAGTAACATAGGCTACTGCTGAATTAATAACCAATATATTTAATTTCTTTATTGTTATTAAAGTTGTTGCTCTCGTGACAAAATCATTTAAGGGTTGTTTGTTTAAAGTTCCCTTTTGTTTTGCAGGAGAAATTTCGTCCCAATCGTGAAAGTGTGTGATTGAGCAACACTTGTGTGTTTCGGTTTTAATACTCGGTGACACGGCGGGGTTATGTTAGTCTGCTGATGTGAACCCTCCCATAGAGAGAGAGAGAGAGAGAGCGAGAGAGAGAGAGAGAGACTCTTATTCAATCTGCCGGCTGACTCTGTGGGACAAAACGAACACACACTCTCACTGACTCTCTGATTGGCTAACTCCCTCATGCACGTGTACTGGGCACACCTCTTTTTCAATTGGCGACCATCAAGCAAGCGAACAATAACAAGTGAACAACGGGAAACGTGGGGGCTGGACTTTCAAAATAAAAGTGATGTCCCAATGTTGGAAATCAAGTTAATTTGAAACTGTTTGGATGCAAGTGGTTTTGAATATACAAGTCAAATAAATTACCTATTTTTTTGTACTGGCACGACATGGTCTTGCCTTTATCTAAGCCTTCACCTAATAAAACCCTTGAGTTTTCTTGTTATTCTTTTTAAAGTTTTTTTTTTACTGCAAAAACGCGTGAATCCGGGAAAAAAAACAAACGGATTTAAACATTACCTTCATATCTAAACTAGATTAATCGCACGGTGTACGAAAACGTATGTAAAGTTGCAAAGGTTTGGTCGCTTGCAGCTTTTATTTTGAAGTCACCACCGGATGTCGTGTTGTTTTTTTCATGCCAGGAAGCACAGCGGGAGGAGGAGGGCCGTCACATTTGCTATTTGACCGCATAAAGTTGTGCGGTGTGATTACAGCCGATAGTAACTGCTTACCCTGTCTCCTCCAGGTGTTTATCAAGAGCAAAGGAGGTAAATATTGTGTTACCTCCGACAGCTGACACTTCCTTGTGTGTGTTTTACGTTACGCAATGAACGTGACAGTGACCGAGTGACTTCTTGTGCTTAAAAGAAGCTAGTTCGGCTAGCTCGGTCGCTCGGCTAAGGCGAACTACCTCTGTTCGCTCGCGAAGCAACGACCTCGACAGACTTGGACTGTGTAACCCAGCGTGTTAGTTCATCGGGGGGCATTTACCACCTGGACTTGAAATGGCTTTGGTAACAGCTTTAAGAAGACTGGCTCGTTTGAGGCTACGAGAGAATACCCGGATGACGGCGGCTGTCACTTCCAGCACCTGGCTGAGCGGCCACAGGAGCTTCACCACCGGAACACAGCCTCTCAGGTAAGAAGCATTTTCTTTATCCAACACTGCATGAAAGTCCACCTGGGGTCTTGTAAGGACAGGTAGTTAAAAGTCACCTTTATTTCCAGCAGGTGCTGCCAAGGGTCACCTGTGAGGGAGGCACTTGTGGTCACACCTGGCTGGCATCTGTTAAATATATAAAGGTGCTTACTGTTCCCCACAGGTGATCATTCACTCTGAATCCCATGTAGATAAAAAGCCAGAAAGAGTCCCACATGAATAAGTGAATGAAACTTGATTTGGGCTGAGCTGTCCTTTTTTTTTTTTTTTAAAGATAAGTTATCTAGAGTCAACAACAAGGGAACACACACACACACACACACACACACACACACACACACACAGGGGTGGTAATGGTTTGAAGAAACACAATGAAAAAAACTCAAACTTTCTTTTCCCAGCGTGATCAAAGTGTAAAAACTCAGCTTGGTGGCGTAATCGCAACACTTTTTGACGTTAACTTCTTGGGAGAAGGATTACTGATCCTTGGAAGAGGCTAAACATTACCTCTTTTTTTCTCTCTCCACAAGGTTAAAACTTGGATCCATCCTTCTGTTCAGGTGCAAGGCTCTGATCAGGGTCAGGCTTCTCAGGGACTTGTTACTCAGGGTGAAGGTTTGATGTGCTGGACCGGCCTTAAACTCACAAACACCGGCCCTGACCCTCACATGACTGTCCGTTTCAAAAAAAAAGTCCAGCTCAACGCTTCAGGGCGGATATTTCTGCTTCTTTGGCTGTTTCAAGGCTCATGGGAGGGTCTGGACAAACGGGTTATAATTGACATATTTTGTAAAGCGGATTACAAAGGGGGTCACACTGGTCCTGAGACTTCAAAAAGGGTCATTGAGTTTGTTATGAATGGCAGTGGAAATTAGAAATCCATAGGGTTAGACCTCTGAAGTTTAGGCGGCGGCAGAACAGAATACACTTTTCATAAATCAGAGTAGTTCACTCATCAGAAGCAGCGGAGATAATTACATTTGGTGTTTTCATTGTGTGGTTAGACATCTTTCCATCGCTTTGAATTCACCTGTCCTGAGTCCTGCCAGAGTTTGCGCAGCCTCATGCAAGTTTTATCACACTGGAAACAGTTCGGCCCTTAATGGTATTCCCAGCGCACTGCAGTGAAATAGTTACTTTATCAGCGTGGCTAATCAGATGAAGAATGTTTATCCGGCGTCCTGGAAAAAAAAAAGAGAACAGACAGGATTTGTCCACTCCCGCACAATGAACAAACGACGTGAAATGCAATGTCTTCATTTCCTTAAGATGACAGAAAATAACTTCTTTATGAAGAGTGAATCCTTAACGTTGACGTGACGATACCACACATTATTACACCCTTCTTTGTGTAGACTGCCATCTTACAATAGAGCCCTTCATTCATGTACAGCACATTCGAAACATCGTTCGTTTAGTCCTTTCATCGGGAACTCAAACTGAGAAAACAACATGTAGTAAATCTACAATTTGAAAAGCGTTAGCTATAGAAATGCACCGCCTCTCGTTTCCTGCATATTGTGCTTTGACTGCAAACTTTCTCACACTTGTCAGATCCATCAAATCCAATTATTTGATTCAATATTTTCTTGAATACTTGTTTTAATATTGACTTGTTGCAGCACACAACTTCATACTAATGAAGTGTAATCAGAAGCTGGTGTAATTTAAGAGTTAACTGGTTGATTGTAATATTTGCAGAACGTGTTTGGCCAGCTGAGCGGTGTGCAGTGTGATAAGTAATGGCCACTAGAGGGCAGCATCAGTCAGGGCAGTCGGAGCCTGCCTGTAGTTACAGATTACAAATATGTACCAGCCATGAAGGGGTTAACCTGCTGTTGTTGTGTGAATATAGTTATAATAATAATTGTCAACAACTGTAAAAGATGTGCATTAGCTTCCCTTAAAATATGACCCCAATTGGCCAGATGGTGGCGCTGTAATTAAGGAAACAAAACTTTATTTTGAAAGGCCATGCGACTTGAAGTTGGACACACAGGTCCAGCTCATTTTACCGGAGTCCATTTATTGTGTTTCATTACGGACTCCAGCTTGTCTCAAGATACACACACACACGTTTGTTTATTTCTAAGGTGAACTAAAAAGTGTGTTCTGTGTGTGTGTGTGTGTGTGTGTGTGTGTGTGTGTGTGTGTGTGTGTGTGTGTGTGTGTGTGTGTGTGTGTGTGTGTGTGTGTGTGTGTGTGTGTGTGTGTGTGTGTGTGTGTGTGTGTGTGTGTGTGTGTGTGTGTGTGTGTGTGTGTGTGTGTGTGTGTGTGTGTGTGTGTGCGTCTCAGGTCAGACAACAAGGTGACGATCAACTTCATCAACAGAGACGGGGAGAAGATCTCAGTGAAGGGCTCGCCGGGAGACTCCCTGCTAGATGTTGTCATTAATGAAGACCTCGACTTTGATGGCTTTGGTAGGTGGACACACACACACACACACACACACACACACAGATACTGAGCGGTATCTCATCCATCAGATAGGTTATAAGTTTGTGTGTGTGTTGCTGGTTTCAGGGGCGTGTGAGGGCACCCTGGCTTGCTCCACATGCCATCTGATCTTCGACGAGGACGTCTACAAACAGCTGGGACCGGTCACAGACGAGGAGATGGACATGCTAGACTTAGCCTACGGCTTGACTGACACGTAAGTGACCCAAACACACAAACTGGGGGGTGTAAAAAAAAAACCAAACAAACAAACACAAAATTCACATATTTGTCCATTTATTTTTTCTTTAAGATTTATTTTTGGGTATTTTGTGCCTTTTTAATGTAGAGACAGGACAGTGGATAGAGTTGGAAATCAGGGAAAGAGAGAGAGTGGGGATGACATGCGGGAAAGGAGCCATAGGCGGGATTTGAACCTGGGCCGCCCGCTTGGAGAACTACAGCCTCCACACTAACCACTGCGCCACCAGCGCCCCATATTTGTCTAGTTTTTAATAAGGGCCAAAGAGGAAATGATTAAATCAGGCTCCTGGTTAATTGAAATACTCATTAAGTGTGTTTCTTTGTTGTCAAACGGGCTTGACAATGTAAGCCGGTGATGTGACACACACCGCTTTACGCTGATGAGGTAGTTACATGGATGTAATGAGATTTGTCAGAGCTGATCAGTTAATCAGAGAAGGAACAAAGAGGTAAACAACAAGAGGAGTCGTCCTCTTCAACACGCAGCACAGACCTGACAAACATTGTGTAAACACAGCGTGAAGTTACCTGAGGAGGATGTCTGTGGAAGCAGCCACATCAAACTTTATTTACAATTCATTTCAAACGTGTGTGGAACAATGTTTAGTTTGAGGAGGACTCGTGCTCTTTTGAGTGAATGAGTAAATACCTGACCAGCACCAGAGGCAGAGGGGCACTGTGTGAATTCAGGTCTGGCTCAGTTTTGCACTTTTGATCGTGAGATGTTCATGTAAAAAAACAAAGACTGAATATTTGACTCTCTTCCCCCCCCTCCCCCTCCCCCCCACAGGTCTCGTTTGGGTTGCCAGATCTGTCTGACCAAGTCCATGGAGGGCGTCGTGGCGAGGGTTCCCGAGAGCGTAGCGGACATCAGACAGAGCCAGGACGGGTCCTCCTAACAGGGAGCGTGTTGTTGCAGGCAGTGTGGCGGCGGTGCCAGGTCAGAACTGAGGGGTACGTTATGTATGAAATCTGTCGGCACTGCTACAAGACGATTGTTCCGTCCTTTTAAAAAAAAAAAAAAAAGACAAAAAAAAAAAAAAACACATTTCCAGCTAGAGGAAACCAGGATGTACAAATACAGAACTTTGACTGGACAGAAAAAAATCACTTTTATAGAAAGAGGAAAATCAGGAGGCAAATAATTTTTAGACTAAAACTGTAACTTGTCTCTGGAACCGAGAGAAGCTCGTTGTCTTAGTGTGAGATCAGATGATGAGCTTTTAACTCTGACCTATGACATCATACTATTGTTAACCCTGTTAACCACAAGCACTGATTTTAAGTGTTTTTTATTTTTTATTTTAATGACTCTTAGTTAGAAAACGTCTTCACCTCAGTTGACAGGTTGCAAACTCTCAGTCAGGTAATTAGCTCAGACCCCCCCCCAACCTGTCACTGTTTAAGCTCTCTGGGTTTTTGGCCCCGCCCCCTCATTAGCAAAAGTCTCCTCTGCTTTTCTTCTTTTTACGACAGATCCAACACGTTCTTACAAACATCTGAACTACATCCGACTGTCTTCTTCTCTGTGTGAGAATTCAGTGGTTTCCCCTGAACAGTGAAACGCTACATATCTGTTTTCTAACCTGTGACTGAAACGTTTGAACTAACTCTCAGTTCTCCACGCCTTAAAGACTGTGCTGATGCTGACCCCCGCACCCCCCCCCCCCCCCCCCCCCGAACCTGTATTTTATTCTACCCATGTAATCACCTTTCTGTTGTTTGTTTGAATCCATCATGTAACCACATAATTTCATCATGTGATTGTACATAGCTAGAACACACACACATATATCTATGTATAGAGGGAAAAAGAATGTAATAAAAGAAATCACCTTTCTAATGGCCTCTTGAACTGTTACTTTTTAGATGTTTGAAATTAAAAGGTGGATTCAAATAAAAAAAATATATATATTTTATGAATAGATATTTGTGTCATCATATTTAAAATGAAAAAAAGGAACAATACTTAAATGTTGCACTGTTCTCCAAATAGCAGCAAAGCCCTTTTGGGTTATTTTTATGCACACTTTAGCAAATATGGATTTTAATACATTTCTGTTGCCCTGTTTACATTTCAGGATTAATCCTGGATTATTAAATACTCACCATGGGTATGCAGAAAAAAATGCCCCGTTGGGTCAGAGCATGAAAGAAAGAGAACTATACAATTATTTATTGAAAGGCAAAGAAGTTTAATTTAACTACTTGTTTTTTAGAGAAGAGGGCTTAACGTCACACTTTAATAACTGGCTATATGGGATCACAGCAATGTTTTCCATATCTCGCTAATACTTGGATACTTATTATTTAAAGGTACACATTTCATAAATTATTATTTTTATTCCAAATAAGTTGCTTCTTCAAAAAGTAAAAAATCATTTCAAGGGGTTGGAATCAGAAAATCAAAGTGTGCCATTTGGAACTATTTCAGATCGAGGACTGCTGTTGAACACATTTAACACTTTTTAATCAAAATAAATCTATTTAAAAAAACAGTAAGACCAGCAGGAAGTTTAGAAATAAAAATGTGTATGTACATTTATTTCATTTATAATAGGTGTATATATATAAGGCTCATACAGCTACCATGTTTTGTCATGAACTGCAGATCACAGTTCTCATACACTTAATCACAGTTACACAGAGATCACCATATTCACAATGCAGCTTTCATTCAAACCAAAAAGGCATTGTTGGAGATGTGTTTGTTCAGCACAGTAGAAATCTATTTTTTTTGTTGAATAACTTACGATTAAGGAAAGGGGGGTTGATCTACAGAGGGGTTCTAACCCCTACATGAACACAGACAGGATGCTCGATTGCTAATGTGCTTCTTTCAAGAGTCAAGTTTACACATTGTATTTTTTGTGTCGAGGCAAAGATATGAGAACACTTTGTAAAATGTCTAAACATAAACACTATGTGCATATATGTTCAAACACACAACAACAGTATCATTACAGTATTATAAACTTGAGTTTGAATCTAATTTAAATACATAATATATATCATAGTGAATACATGTATTAATCAGAGGCCTAATCTTGCTTTGTTTTTACAAAGCTTAGCATACATATGAAAAGGTGAAGAGGCAGCAAAATATTGTTAAAGGTCACATATTATTTTAAATTTCAACCAGTTTCAATAAGTCTCAGAGCTCCTCTAAACATGTGTGTGAAGTTTCTTGTTCTAAATCCACTCTGATCCTGTATTTGATCATGTCTATAAACCCCTCTGTTTCAGCCCTGCTCAGAACAGGCTGTTTCTGTGTCTGTACCTTTAAATATGTAAATGAGCTATGTTTGACCACACCCCCTTTCTGGAAGGGCTTGGGGATTTCTCGCTCCATGTCCTATTGTTTACGGTGAGAAGGCAGACTCAGAGGGCAGAACAAACACCTAGCTGTGGGAGTGTCACCCACCTGGGGGAGGAGTTACTGCCCTTTGTGATGTCACAAAGGGAACATTTTCTGAAAAGTGGAGCAGATAAAAGATGCCAAAATAGTGATTAGCTGTTCCTGTATTTCCTGTATTCATGAATGTACAGACAACTATAACTAGTTTATATAATTACTTTGATACTCAATAAACATTTCAAACATTTTAATTCTAAGGCAGATTCTGTTTTTCCCGTTAAGAGTAACGGATATCTTAACATTTAAAAAAAAAAGGGTAAGACACTAAATTCAAAATATGTGTAGCAGGTTTTTATGTTCAAATATCTTCTGTTTTCCCCTCCTTTGCATCCTTAGTTTGATTATAAAGATGAATATATATGCACATAGGTGACATAACTACGCTCACAGTATTCACTATTCACAGTATGAATACAACATAACACTTAAAAAAGGGGAAAAAAACACCGTTACACAGTCTCTCACTCTTCAGAGATTAGTCTGCAGTACCTATCGAGGTTTCACTTTTTGTTGGATTTTGATTTATTTACAAAGTCATTTTTTCTGTACTATACTACACTTTAAAGGAGAAGAACTGCGACTACAGGCACACAAAATAATGACTCTTATACCGCCAACAGCTGTTTTTAACCATGTGGACTTTTTTTTCTTTAACTCGTAGTTGCTGTTCGGAAGCGCTTGATTATCGGTCAACCAGGCTTTTATTCTGAAACAAATTCTTATCATGACCTTTAGACTATGATCAGAGCAGCTTTTTGATCCAGCACTTTCACAGTCCTGTCAGCTGCTCCACCGTTACTCCACATATGTATCCGACAAACATATTTTAAAAAAAAACTACAAAAACTACTTAAAAAAAAAAAAAAGGCTCAGAGTGAATACTACAAAATAAAAGCACAGTAGAATTTGGCCTCATTGCTCTGTTTTGATTGTCTCGTGTTTGGCTTGCTAGTCAGTATTTGGAGTGATGGAGGATTTGGGGTTAGGAGAAGTCCCACACCCCCTCAGCGGGATCTGTGGGGGTGGACGTCAGAGGGTGGCAGGACGGGGTGGGGGGGCAGGATACCGGGAGGTCGTCCGGGCTGGTGAGGGGCGCTGCTGGGTACATGAGGCTGAGGAAGGAGTCTCTGGTGTGCCTCTTCACCTGTCACAGAACAACACAGTTCAAACACTCAACAAACTCTATTTTCATTTTTCTCAGGAAGAAGAGTGGCCGTGTATCCATCATATAATACGATACGATATAATATGATGTGATATCATATGGCACAACATGAAAATTTACCTCGGCCGCCCATTTAAATTTACGGCCGCCCAAGTATATTTCCGACCTGTTTTTATTTAACTTTTCATTTATTCAAAATATTGCTACGAGAGCGGGAGGGAAAGAGAGAGAGAGAGAGAGAGAGAGAGAGAGAGAGAGAGAGAGAGAGAGAGAGCGATCGGGGAGAGAGAGGGGAGGGTGAGAGAGAGTGCGAGTGAGTGCAGCAAAACTACTGTCTTGACTCCCGCAGAGAGGGGGGGGGACCCACCTGCTTGAAGAAGGCATGGGTCAACAGTGAAGATGCTGACGGTCTGTTGAAGACAAAAGCAGAAAAAAACATTTTCATCAACTTCACATCAGATCAGCTGTTCAAAAAAAACAACAACAACAACAACAAAAGATACTGTTCGAGTACCTGCGCTCAGGCTGCTGCTGCAGACACAGCTGCACCAGGTTGTGCAGGGTGACCGAGTGGTTTTTGGGCGCGGGGCTCTGGGGTCGATCGGCGGGGGGAGCGGTGGCGCTGTGCGTAAGGCTCCCCGTGGCCACGCTCTCCCCGATGCCGGAGTCCACGCCGGACCGCGACACCTTCAGCCCCCCGAGCTCGCCGAGCGGGAAGGGAGCGACGTCCAGGAGGCAGCAGTGGGATCCTCGGAGCTTCTGGAGCAGCATCTGGGGACGACAATTAAAAACATTTTTGCAAAAAAAGAAAAAAAGTAAGTAAAAATTCTTATTAGTGGTTTTGATGAAAGCGTTTTTGAATAACCTGAGTGGGGGGCATATCCTGGAAGGGCACCCTGCCGCTGACCAGCTCACAGGCCACAATACCTAAACTGTAGATATCAGACTTCACTCCGTATCCATGCAGGTCCTACTGGGAGCAACACCATGAAATGTTAGAATAAGGCTGGGAGTAGAGCAGCTGTTGAGCCTCTACCACGATGAAGTGAAGTATCAGACCTGTCGCAGCAGCTCAGGGCTCAGCCAGGGCAGCAGGGCCGGGCTGTGATGGGGCATGTCGAACACGGCCCTCATCCTCTTCCCCTCGCGCATCATACTGTAAATGCTGTGCAGCCCTGAGAGGTAGACACGCCCCTCCCCGGACAGCAGGATGTGACTGGCCTTCAACCCGCTGACAAGAAAAGGGAAAAGTCACCGACACATTCATGAAGTCAAAAATATTTGCAGTAGTATCTCCTGCGTCCCCACTGACCGGTGCACGTAGCCCATCTGGTGCAGGTATTCCAACGCCTTCAGAACGCCATACAGCAGGTACGCTATCAGGGATTCACTCATTCCATCTGGGAAGTATGTTCTTAGTAAGGTGTCTGCAGAGCCTTGAAAATGAGAGGGAAAGGACATTGCAGTGATTTATTTGAAATTTTAGGAGTGCATTTTTTTTAAGCTCTTGGCTGTTGTTGTTTTTTAAGGACTCTAAAGGACAAAACATAAAAGTGAGCGAGGCGTGGCGGTGGCTGACCGTAAGCCATGAGCGGTGTGAGGACCCAGAGCTGGCAGCAGGAGCTGAAGACCAGGCGAGAGGTCAGCAGGTTGGTGTGACGGAACAGCCGGGAAAGCAGAACCTCGTTCTAGAAAGAGCGAGAGAGAGAGAGCAGCTATGAGTTGATTGTGTGTCTAATACACTAAAGTGTTCGTCTAAATAAGCTCACCATGAGCTGCACCAGCTCCTCCTCGGTGCACTCGTCCAGGTTGGTTTGCTTGACGGCAACCAGCTGGCCAGTAGGGATGTGTCGCGCCATGTTCACCTGGCTCAGGTTATTGAAGCCCCTCCCTGTAGAACGGGTAAGTCTCAATTTATTTTTGTGAAATTCTGCATTTGGAAATGATGTGCAAGATTGTATTGTTCGCTTCTGCCTTGATCGCCGTGACAAGCCAACTTGTTCTCACCGAGCTCAGACAGCAGCTGGTAGTGGGCGGGCACCGCTGAGAGTCCTGTGATGTCATCGCCCCCCGCTGGCCCTTGCAGAGTGTATTGAGAACCGTCACAGCTCTGCCGGGACGCGCACCCATACATACAACACATTTACATTACCAGTTTATCTTGAAGAAAAGGCATTCAGAAGATAAATAAATACAATTCCATGTGCGTTATGAGAAACTTGAACATGTAAAGATGCGCTGTCACTTTAAACTTGATTCTGAACATTCGGACCCTAGATCGACTAAATCTTGGGTCCTAATAAAATATTGTGCAGCTAAATTTTAACCTCAGGAAGCTGACATGGTCACAATAACTATTCTGACATGATAACGTTTAGAGAGTGTGATTTTACCCCCGTTCATCATCTTTTAGTGCAACTGTACTAAATGGACTTTCTGCCCCACAATAACCCCTTTGTGATGGTTTAGGTATGTTCAAGGGGGGGGGGGGGGATGGATGCCACAGGAAGCGGGAGGAGAGGCTTGCAGTTTTTAGTTGTCGTGATGCAGACATGTTGTCGGGACAGGTCAGTGTATGGTTCTCTTTCAGCATCACACTTTATCAGCTGTCTCTGATAAAGCTTCTTTTTGTTTTTTAAACACACCATCTAAATGTGTTTTATTTGTTTAAAGTAAAACCATACTGTCCCAGCAGTTTGTGTGCATTACCAAGGGGGGAGCTGATCATAGACATCAGCTCTGAAGAGTTGAATTTAATATCAAGTACCGCTTTAGGAACAACAACAGGCATGATGTCAATCATACTTTCATTCAGAGTCATTGTAATATTGAACTGTTTCCCACGCTGGATATTTTAAAACTATTCATTATGCTGTCAAATAACGCAGACGTCACAGTGTGTTTGAGGGTGTCACCTGCTACCATGGTTACCGGCTCAAACTACAAAGACGGCTCTGAGCAACTGTTAAAATATCCAGGTGTGTGCCGGAATTGCATGCACCTCTCGGATCTTATTTCCGGGTGCAGATCAAGTAAGTTAAGTGTGCTTATTGTTCTATGAACACGATTTAATAAATAAATATGAATTATTGTATTATTACCTAAATATTCACTTTTAGGGTAAAGGTTAAATATTTTTTTCACTACTGTTAATTTATTCTTTGTATTACCACAACTTTTTTCCCCTCGTGATCTTACTTTAGTCTCACAACGATGCGACTTGATTCTTGAAATCTGACTTGAATGTGATCTAAAAAAGAAACTTCAGTTGCATGATGGGAGTTTTAGCGTCTGTTGTTTTTTTTGGGGGGGATCTTGAGACCTTCACCTCTGCTGCACAACAAAAAAAAAAAAAAAGACATCTTTGTTTGAACCTGTCTCTCTCTTGATGTTATGGACAATAAAGTTGATGGAGTACCCCTTTAAATGTTAAAGGCTGCTGCAATGCAATTCAGCAAATGACTGACTTTTACAGCTCTGAGGGAGGGAGGGGTGAAGCACCTTCAGACGATGATAAATGAACAGAGATGAAATGATGGGAGAGCATCAGTGTGACGCCTGTCTTCATGCTGACAGTGTCTTGGCTACTGACCAGGAACTGGTGGCTGGTGTCCTCATAGCGCTCCTCTAGGTCCAAGGGCTGGACCTGAGCGTGGGAGATGCAGGAACAGTCCTGGTGGAGGGGGAGGAGGAAGGGGAGGGGGAGGAGGAGGAGGCAGGAGCACACAGGTGAGACATGCCCGGATGGGAGAAGGAGGAGCGGAGAGGGCAACACTGAGATGGAAGGTGATACACTGCCTCAGGGGGGAGGATGATCGGGATGAGGCAGAGAAGCGAGCATCGGGGAATGTGAGCCGTGGGGGGGGGGGGGGCGGCACTTAAGAGAGCTTTTTATCGGAAGTGGTGAGCAGAGAGAGAGAGAGAGAGTCAGAGTGATGATAAGAGGCAGCTGATGCCTCCCAATTGAGCAAGATAATAGCTCCATAGATAATTAGACAGGTAACTCTAATAAATACCATTTCCCATCTATTTGAGGCCATAAATAAAAAACACTTTGAATTAAATATCCAATATTTGAAAGCTAAATAATTTAAAATACAATGTGATCAACATGATTATTACTTAAGTGAATCTCTATCCTAAATAAAGAATATTTGATACTCTATAATGACTGGTTGAAGTTGCAATATCCCGCCAGAGGCATCAGCAGGAGCCCACAGATTCGTGACGATCACCTAGGTCACAATATGGCACGCACGGAGGCATACAGCAAAAAAAAACACAAAAAAACAAAAAAACCATGCAGCGTGACACTCTTACCAAGAAAGACATGGAGTCCTTTGGGCGATGATAAAATCCCAGGCTTCGGCATTCATCCGCTCACAGGCCGAGGGGGAGCGACCGCGATGGAGGGAGACAGGAAGATGGAGAGCAGCGGTGTAATGTGAGACGAGCGGCGAGTCCTCCACTAGACTAGAAAAGCAGCCATCCAACCTCAGCCGTTCATCCATCCGTCTGCAGTTCACCTGGCTGCATCAGCTGATCGGGAGAGAAGCGGCATGAAATCCCCCCCCCAAAAAAAGCTGCGAAACCAGTTGTGAGATAGTTGCGTAATAAGCATCAGAAGGAAGAATTATGAATGGAACACGGAAACCAATGTTTTGTTGTAGGCAAAAAAAAAAAAAAAGTTAAAATATATTATTAATTTCAGCTTCTTGATGTACTTAAATGTTTAAGTTATCATCATTTCAGCATTCATATTCTACCACAGTCTTCAAATTGTTTTTGAATGAAGTGTTCTGTTTTGTTTTAGTTAATGTTTTGTAAAAGAGGGGCAGATATTATGAGATTAATCTTCTTTTTGCTCCTTTTCATTCCAAAAAATTTGAGATTTTATGTTGGTTTTTCTTAACTTTATTGTTTTTTTTTTAATTAAATAAAATTGACAAATAAAATAAAAATCTTCCTTTTTTATAAAAAACCCAAACACGGTCAGTTTTCCATCAGATATCGTGGGGTACAAATTAATCCACGAGGTCAAACTTTTGCATATATAAAATATATTTATTTTCTCCCCCCCATTAACTCACTCATTCACTCCATTTTTAACAGATGAATGTCTGTTTCATTTAGCTGATAGAGGGTTAACTGTGTGTCTCTGAATACGTGTAGAGGTTACTGTATGTGTGTTTATATTTAAATTGTGTAATTGGATTTGTTTAGTTGATTTATTTGTCTCTTAAGAGGTGACACACATTTTTATGTTTTTGTTTGTTAATCCTATTTTGATGTATTCTTACATGTGTGCGAATAAATAAATAAATAAATAAATAATAAACATGTAAGTGTTGCAAAATCCTAGTTTGGTGACCACAATAATAATTTAAATTATTAAAAAAAAAAAAAAAAAAAGGTGAGATTTAATGCAGCCATTTTTTATGATCAAAACATGCGAGCGATGACGTCACACACTCAAAGGACAATTAGCTTCTCGTCAAGTGTTTATCTCACGATGAATTTGACAGATGTGAACAAAGAGCACGACCAAAACAATAACACGCCCCCCCCCCATTCCCCTCCCCCAGTGTGCATACATACACACACTGTACATACTTATAACATATCTGCATGGTTAAAGCTCAGGAGCAGAGGAAGTGTTGAAACTCATAAAGAAGCTACTCACCTTCTCGTCGGTGCGCTGCGATGTAAACAAGTTAAAAATACAAAAAGCGAGAGATACCCCTAAAAGGACGCTTGGTCTGTAAAGTCTTCGTTCCTTCATTCAAGATTTAATCCATCGGAGTCGAAGTTACAAGCTGTATTACTGCCTATCATCCACAACAACAACAACAACAAAAAAAAAGCGAAAATATTGACAGCACTTTTAATTTGACACAGATAACTGGCGCTCAATAAAAACGTCACCAAGCGGGTCGTGTCGCGTGATGATGACGCAGCTGGGGCTTCCTTCCCGTCTATTGTTAGAGGTGTTGTTGAAGGGGGCAGCGGGTACCGTGTGTGTCGCTGGATTAACCCATGCTGTGGATTAACACTGACATTAGGGTGAGTTTTATGAGCACATTCTTCAATATATTAAATGTTATTAGTGTTATTATGGCGTTGTTAGCTACGTGGAGCAACGCGGAAGCTGTCATCATAGGATAGCATGTAGCATGTTGAACGTGTATTCGGCCGTCGATACTAATATTACCCATTTTCGACATCATAAACCATTGTTAACACCACAGGAACACAACCAGAAGGATTTTGCTCATGTAAGTGCACATTTCTGGTGAATTCGGCACATAGAAGATCCACAAAGGAGGAGGTGACAGTGGTCAACCAACCTGGATTTAAAGGTTTTAACACGGGGAATAGAAAGTTTGTTGCCTTTTTTTAAATATAAAAGACAGCATTTGAGTGTTTGTAAGTGACGCCGAATTGAAGAGTGGCTTCTAAGGATTCACGCAAACATTTTAAATCGCGGTTACCTCCCTTCTGCTTTTGTTGAAAATCAGAGCATTTCTAAAATCCTGCTTTTTTCAGACGGAGATTCGCGCCAGGCAGATGCGTCGTTTCGCAGCGTTAAATTGCACCCTTTTTTTTCTTCATATTTTGGGTGATGCAAGATGAGGTTGAATGTCTCCACGTTTCTGTCTGTGCAGTTCGTGTTTGGTGTGTTGTACAGTCAGCAGCATCACATGCTTTTTCAGGTCAGTGTCCTCTGAGCACTCACACTCTGTCCTGTCTGTTTTCATGTACGATGGAAACACTTCAAAACATACAGATTCAGCTTGGATGTTTCTTTAGGTTTGGATGCAACTTACGCTGGAACATCAGGATGACAATTCCACCGCTGCGCTTGTCGTGTGTCACACAGGATGAGGGGGCATCATCTGAGCGCTCAGCCCAGTCATGAAGGGAAAACACAAATCTGCAGAGAGCTGATGCAAGCAGGCGGCTGTGTGAAATATAATGCTGCTGTGTTGTCTGTGTTACACCGACTGCCACGGCTGCTTTTTCTACTCTTGTGCTGACATTTTACATCTTAACAATCTGTGACCCCCCCCCCCCCCAATATTAAGCAGAGGGCTTTTTATTTCTCAAATGTACGTCGACACAGGAACATCAGGCTGTATGCTAAACAAGGATGTGTCTTGGGGGACGACTCACAGGCGCCTGGTCAACAACAGCCTTGCCATTTAAAAAAAAAAAAAATCAGGGTCAATAAAGAAGTTTGCATCAGAGAGAAGTTTCTTTGCTGAGATTGGAAACTCTCCACATTTCAAACACATGCCAGCAGCTATTAAATTCAGCCCCACATGTATCAATATGTCCTGCGTAGGATTGCTCCCAGCTCCTGGTGTGACTGTTATCCCACTGGCATTGACTGACTGATATTCTAAATGGGTTAGCACACACACACACACACACACACACACTGTATCCACAAGGCCTCTCATTTAGGCTGTTAGCGTTGCGTGCAGTACAGTAATCTCCTCCATGGAGCAAAACAGCTTCAGCATCGGTGTTACGTAAGCTGCAGAGGATGAAGACTGTCTCTCTCCACAGGCATGCACACGTTCACCCACCCGCATCCAAAACACACACACACGCGCGCTAATATGCATGTGTATGATATGTCTGCATGCACAGGCTTAGCAGTGAGGTCAGTGGTGCACATGGTACTGGGGTGACCGTTATAATATCCTCTCTTTTATAAATTAAAGGAACATTCTGCAGAATTTTTAAATCCCACAGGTTGGGATTCGAACCTGGGCCGCCCGCATGCAGGACCAAGACCTCATACATGGGGGGGGGGCGTGCGCACTAACCACTGCGCCACCAGCGCCTTCGAACCTTCTGCAGATTTTAACTCCTAATTTCAGAGCCAAGTGACGACTGTTACTCAGCCTATATAAACACAATTTTGTTTCGTTTTCTTGTGGCCCTAGAGTCTGAGGAAAATACCCACAGTGATGTCATAGTGATGTCATAGTGATGTCATTGGATTTGTCTCAGTCAGTATCGACTTTTTGGGGGTTTTTACCTTAAAGTTAGGATGCAGATTTTGAAAGATGTGACTGTTTAACATGCAGTTTGGATCTGATGTAAGATGCGATCATATTGCATTCTGGGAATTGCAGTTTGTTGGGAATCAGGACGTTTCCGCCTCTGCTGAAGTGATTTTCGATTATTCCCTTTTTTTTTTTTTTTTTTTTTCAATCTGCGTCTCACGAGCTTTCTGACGTGACAGCAGTGCCACACCAAATCGCTGAGGTTCCTCTTTAATTCTTTTGTGTCATAATGACAGCAGCAGCAGCAGAAGATTTACTAAAGCAACGCTGACAGTCTCACACTGTCCTGGAGCACGGCTCGTGTCCACAGCTGGTGTTTCATTCTCCTTAGCCCAACTCTTTGAAGAGAGAGTTTCCTGCCTCGTTCCTCCAGAGATAGTCAACAGGATGTGGGAGGAGTTGTGTTTAAACATCATGTGGACAAATGGAACGGTTATAACAACCCGCCTGCTCTTGTCTGTAAAGTTACTGTGTATTCTTAATGACAGACCGGATGGTGGATAGAGTGGCACATTAAATCTGTGATGCCCTGAAAAAAGTGCCAGACAATGAAGTGTTTATAATAACAGTGTCGGCTTTTATCGGCTTTAAATGTGAGCAACAGAAAGCGGGAGAAAGACGAATATCCGCTTTATCTATTTCACCTCTCTCTTCAGGTAAAGGTGTGTGCGGGCACCACCCACCAGCGTCACACCAGGATGTGATGTCACAGGAGTAGCGGCTGCTGTTTCCTGTCCGGCTTTGTGTTCGCCATTCCGATCCCCGTCCCGCACCAAGGACAGAACATGTTTGAAGCCAAGCCCCGGGCGGTGGAAAAGAAAGAGTCCAGCACTGAGACAGGTAGAGTACATGTCTGTAAGCCCCGCCTCCAGGCCTGATGCTATAGTTAGCCTCGTGTGTCCCAGTAAACCAAATGTTTATTCAAGTGGAAGAACACTGCCAGGGCTGAGAGTACACCACACACACATTTAATTACTTCGTCCTCCCACGGGCCTGTAAGTGTTTTGACCACAGTAATACGTCTCTTCATATCGGGAAATCCTCCTTAAACACTTTTTGTCGAGTAGTTCTGGATCCTGTATGACGCTCTCGCTCTTGTAACCCACAGACGAGGGTCTGGGCAGCAGCGGGAGGAACTATGGCTCCGGCTCGCTGGGCTCCAGCTCGGCCTGCTCCGTCTACCTGTCGGACAGCCAGGACTGGGCGGTCTCCCCGAGCTGCTCCCCGGACGAACCCCCCGGCCAGCACACCGCCATCTCCCCCATGCTGGCCGAGGAGACTTTCCGCTACATGAGTAAGTGTTTTTTTGTTTTTTTTTTTTTGAATACGTAGAACAACTGGTTTCCATTCCCTAGCTTTTTCAGTTTTCTGTCATTTTTCTGCTCTCTCGTGATTGGCCGACATCGGAGAGCAGATGGAGGGCCTAGCCTGTCCCGCTGCATTCAACACGCGAGGGATTCATGTCGTACTGCGCACATCCCCTTCAATTAAAATGACGGGGATTTAGCGTGGATATTGTTTGCCGCGGGGTTGTCAGTGTGTAGCACTGAAAGTGTGTGGGAGAGAGAGAGAGAGAGGGAGAGGGAGGGAGGGAGGGAGTCAGACAGTCAGACAGTGAGCAGGAGGAATTCAGTCATCCAGCCAGAGTGTGGCTGATTTTAAAGCCAGGGAGTCACGGGGACAGCGAGTGATGATGAGGAGGAGGAGGAGGGGGGAGGAGGAGGAGGAGGGGGAGGGGCGGGCGGGCAGAGTTGAAAGACAGAGCATGAAGAGAGGACGGCAAAAGAGACGAATCACAACATGCCGGTTTTAAACATCCACAATGAGGAGGTTTACGACGACTTCGCTATGGAAGGTGAGCGAGGGAGTGTGTGTGTAACAGAGAGGAAGACATGTGAGCCGGTGTGACTTCAGAAAGGGTCTGCAAGGTCAAGCTGAATGTGACATGGGAGTGCATGGGAAAGTGTGTGTGTACTGTATTGAGTGTGTGTGTGCTTAGAGAGACAGGAAGTCTGAATGAATGTGTTTACAATCAAACGAGTCGTGCGATGCAGGAGCTGCAACTTCCTGTCAGTGTTTTTCACTTCTTAGCACAACTTTTAACTCCTGCACATGCGACGGGGGGGGGGGGGGGGGGGGGTACAGTACAGTAAGAGAGTCTACGTGTCATGCACTGGGTGAAGCATTTGCTCCACTTATGAAGTGATAAATAGATGCAGCAGCAGCCTATAAATAGTGTGTGATGCCCGTGCAGAGACCTGGCATTGTAACATCTGAATGCACCCGGGTTGCCTCGCGGTTTGTGTTGCACATTAAATACTCATTAGATGGACGCAAAATGGAGCTAAAGCTAGCTTTGTCTGCTCTGAGTATAGCACAGATTAACTCAAATCAAGAGGACAGCCTTGATGGATAGTCGGTGAAAGCAAAGACATTTATGTAAATTCTTTGTCACTGAGCGTCCACTGTGTTAAGACGCTGTTTAAACAGCTCATATGACACAATGCTGCGCTATAGCGTTCTCTTTTTGTGCCCTGTTGTGAAATCAGAAGAAGGAGCCGTCTAATGCTGACCTCCCACCTGGCTGTTTTTTTCTGCTTAAACAGCAGAACAGCTTTCAGTACTTTTTTATTCTCTGACCTCAAACTTGAAGTGCCCTGCCCTGATACGAGCTCCTAGTTTTTATTGAAGCTCATCCTCTGTGCCATATTTTGCTTTTATTGGATAGTGGTAGCCGTAGATCACCCATAGTAAATGCAGGGGGAGAGTGGAGGCGATGACTCGCAGACAAAACGGCCGAAGGTTGTAACTGATTCAAGAGGAATCGGCAACTTTGCATCATCCAGGTGAGCACCCATCCGGATCCGATTTCCACAAAACCACTTCAGGGGGAAAAAAGGCAGAAGAAGAACTTTGGAAGTACAACACCGAAAATCATTGAAATGTATCGTAGTTTTTTGTTTTGTATCTGTTTTGATGTGCCTAACTTTCACCTTTTGGTTCATTAAAACACATCGAGGCTTTTAAACTTTGCTTTATAACATCCCATATAACCCACATGTTGTCCCTGCAGCAGCTCGAGTAGACCGGCCTCTGCGTCTCTGCAGGATCATGATGTCATAAAGTTTCTCTTTGCAGGTCCACCTTGACTATTGCTGTGTGTGTGTGTGTGTGTGTGTGTGTGTGTGTGTGTGTGTGTGGTGTGTGTGGTGTGTGTGTGTGTGTGTGTGTGTGTGTGTGTGTGTGTGTGTGTGTGTGTGTGTGTGTGTGTGTGTGTGTGTGTGTGTGGTGTGTGTGTGTGTGTGTGTGTGTGTGTGTGTTGTGTGTGTGTGTGTGTGTGTGTGTGTGTGTGTGTGTTGCATGCAGAGGATCAAGTACACATTTTATGACTTATTGGACTTTGTGTCTGTGCAGATCTTTGAGGTCAGAGGTCAGTCACTGTGTGTGATGTAGCAGAATTTAGCTTTACATGCAGTCTGTAGTGGACCATGGGAATGTTCACACACTCTGCCCAGTAGGTAAAGATAAATGTAGATGTGTGTGTGTGTGTGCTGATTGACGACTGTACAGTGAGATTAGAAATCAGTGCATTGTGCATGTCTCCCTGCTTATGACAAAGATAGCTCTGTTGGGAAGGAGGTTATTTTTAGTCTTCGCTTTGCCCGGAGGGGAGAGCAGTGTCCAGATCCAGAGGTCACTGTTGGCTTCAGATTACCGGACGACTGATCCCATCCATTAAGAGCAGCTGCTTCACTTTCTTTGCTTTCAAGTACTGACTGACTGATGCATTTAATTCCCCTTGGAAAAAATTAGATCATGTTCATCGTTCAATACACAAAAGCAGAGAGGGAAAAGTAAAAGGTGGGCAATGTTGTGGAAATGAATACTATACCATTACGAAGTTCCATTTCTCATACTGTATACATTCTGTTGTTGTTTTTTTCTTGTAATTTTTGTTGTTGAAATTGTGTTGCAAAGGTGTCTCATGTGGGATAAACCATCAAAAACGTATGGTAAATAGAGGTTGTCGCGGTTACGCTTAAACTGATTTAGCCAACATGGAGGCAAACCATCGCAACCGCATGTGAAGTCACCTTTTGGAGACATTTCGTGTTTCAGCCACATGAGAAAGAACCAGCGGATTAAAATGATGCAATTTGTAAAAAAAAAAAGAAAAAAAAAGGTGGCTGGTGATACCTGCTTTGTTTCAGCACCAGGCGCTGTCCATTGTTGCAGACCCCTAATTCACAAACAAATTAGCTAAATAAATAAAAAGGGGGTGGGTTGCTATGACCCACCCTGAATCATTGAGGGGGAATTCCTTCACCGCGACAGCCCTAATGAATCATCTCTGGAGCTAAAAGGAAATTGCAAATTTAGGTCTCAGTGGTCAGAAATGCTACATTGGGGTGAAGAGTTAGGAGTGTGTCCTCTGGCTTCTTGGTTTAAAGCAATGTTTCAATGATTAGAGATGCTGTTCTCTTCAAACAGGTGCGAGTGGGAGCAGTGCAGCGCTGGTGACACCCACTCAGGTGCTCAAAAAGGACCGCACTAACTGATGTGTTAGATTATCTGATTCTCAACAAACTAATGTTTCTAAATGAGGTTGATGTATTGGTGCTGTAGCTTGTATCCTCTGCTTTTTCCTTCTTCTTCTCCTCCTTTACCTGCTGCCTCTCTCTGCTTCATCTTTCTCTCTTTTTGTCCCTTTTCATCCCAAAACACGCCCGTTCACCTTTTGAACTCTCCCCTTCTTTTCTCTCTCAGCGTATTTCGCTTTGGAGCCATCCTCTTATCCCCACCCCGGCTCTCAGAGCCTCTCCAAAGGTATCCTTCCCATCTCTTTCTGCCTGTTCTGCTCTGCAAATTTAATCACTTACTGTAGCTCCAGTGTGAGAGAGGGGCTTCGATCTAGAACCCATACGTAGCCAAAGACCTGCAGCCCCTTTCTGTTTTTTTTTTCCTTTTTGCATGTAGTTGCAGCAGACAAGGGATTTGTGTAGTATAAGTCTTCTGTCTGCGACTGTGTACAGCTTGTAGTCCTGCAGCATGATACAAAATACATTGAGACCATTAACAAGCGAAAGGCCACATTGTGGAGCGAGGTAGTTCAATGACATTAGTCAGCAATTTGATTAGTAGAATTTAGCAATATACCTGACTTCCTGGCCATCTTATATGGTACTGTATGGTAATATGCTGCTACAGTAACTATGCACTCTTTGTACGAGTGGCTGCTCGTGTTGTTGGTGGTCATTGTCGCATGCTTCAGGAGAGTGTGCATTAGTTTAGAGTGGAATGCTGTTTATATTTTCTTAGTGGTGTGTTTAGAGTTCATTTGATGAGCAGAAGTATGGACAAAGATTGCATGTGTGTATTTGTCCCCTAAAAGTAAAGTACAACTTTTTCTCTACCCAGTTCTTAGCGGGGACCGCGTGGAGCAGATGACCAAGACGTACAATGACGTTGAAGTGGTCACACACCTTTTGGCTGAGGTGGGTATTCTCTCTCTCCCCCTTTGTGATAATTGATTAAATTTAAACAAGGCAGCATCTAATTGGCTGATTATGGTTCTTACTGTACAGCGGGACAGAGACTTGGAACTGGCAGCTAGGATTGGTCAGTCCTTGCTGCAAAGGAACCACCTGCTGCAGGAACGCAACGAGGCCTTAGAGGAACAGCTGGCACAAACCCTGGACCAGGTAGGTTATCCATGCTGGTCAATTTCTTTTCATAATTAAAAGAGATTTGTGTTTTATTTTCATTTGGTTTTGATGTATATCACAGTGTCTTCTGCATACAATCGTACAAAAAAGTAATGGCCCTAAACTTGTTCCTTGTGGTACACCCTTTGCAAAACTTTTGCTGAATTGAAAAGAATCTCCAGTGAATAAGTATGATGATGATTAAAACCAAACACAATGCACCAAATACACCCCTGTAAAGAATATAAATTGGGAGTTTTTCATTTCAAGAAACTTAAATTTTTGACCTTGGCTCTATTAATATCAGGAATCTACAAATAGGAGAGTCAAACATTGGTGTCTCTCTTAACGAATGTTCAACTCTTGTTCAGGTTCATCAGGTGCAGCATGAGCTCAGTAAGAAGGACGAGTTACTGCGGATGGTGTCCAGCGCCACGGAGGAGAGCGAAACCGACTCCAGTGCCTCCACGCCCCTGCGGCAGCCTCCGCTGCCAGGGGCAACCACCGCCACCGCAGCACTCAGCCAGCTGGAGTCTCTGCACGGCAAGTTGCAGGATCTGGAGGAGGAGAACCTGATGTTGAGGTCTGAGGTATGAGTCATCTGTAGGACCCTGAAAATGTAGTGTAATGTCACACACAAAGAGGAAGGATTTGACCTTCAGGCTAGTCTTTATACGCTCATACAAGGTCACAGTATGTGGATTGTTATGATTATGATGTAGAGAGTGCTGAATGGATCCTCTCTACATCTACTCTCCAGGCATGTCAACTCAAGAGAGACACCATCTGCTTTGAAGAGAAGGAGCAGCAGCTCGTAAGCGACTGTGTCAAGGAGCTCCGTGAGTGAAATTTGCACACGTTCACACCCAAAAAGACACAGTTTCATTTAAAAAAAACAAAAACAAAGGTCTAGTTCCACTCTTTGATGTGTGTTTGTGTTTTTTTTTTCAGGTGAGTCCAACGGCCAGATGGTTTCTCTGACGGAAGAATTGTCTCAGAAGAACGAGGAGCTGCTCAGACACCAGGAGGAAATCGCTCAGCTGCTCTCCCAGATAGTAGAGCTGCAACACAGAGTGAAAGAGGTGAGAGCAGGAGGAGGGGGGAAGACCACCACCCCCAAAATAACAGAGCCTAGGCCCGCCCCTGTCCTGGGAGGTAGTTCAGACCTGACACCTGTGGTGGTCTTGGAATTTTACTTGGGATTTTGTGGTTCTTATTTGGTACTTGACTCAGGACTTAAAGGTCTTTACTTGGTACCTGGTGGTCTTAGATTGGGATTTGTACTTGGGTCTTGATGGTCCTGATGTTGAACCTTGTGGTCTTGGCTTAAAACTTAAGACTGTTGTTTCGATTCACACCAACAAGAGTAAAAGACAGAAAAGCATTCTGTACATAGAGCACTGGACTTTATGACCCTACAGAGCAACTGTGATTTATTATTAGTGTAATGAAGGATGTGATGTGTTAAAACGTGTGCGTCTGTGATTAAATGCTTCATTGTGTGTCGTTTGAACACAGCTGGCTCTGGAGAAGGAGGAGCTGAGGATCCACCTACAGGCCTCCAAAGATGCTCAGAGACAGCTCACAGCAGAGGTACGATCTTTGTTTCACTGGCAGCGCCCATTTCCAACACAAAAACAATGCATTTCAGCGTTTTCAGCGCTCAGCATCTTAACCGCTGCGCTGTTGATGACGCTTTTTCCCTCACCAACCAATCAAAATCAAGAAGGGGGCAGGACTTCTGGGAGAAACTTTACTGAGTCGTCTTTTTAAGGGGTCTAGAGCTGCTGCTGATGCCAGGACTTGATTCCTTTACATTATTGTTTTTTTCTTGTCGATATTCCTCTTTACAAATACAGAAAATATTTCTCACACAGAGCTGTATGAAACAGACCTAAGGGTCACTATAGAGGGATGTGAACATTAGCTTTGGTAACCTAGCAACAGTAAGCACTGTAAACTGAGGCCATGAGTTAAAAAGGGCTGTTATTGGACACAGGCTCTAAACTGGTTTCACATTTAAAGTGGTTACATGTAAAACCTCAGCTCTTTTGATGTGTAGCTTCACACATGTATTTTGGTGATATATATTATGTGATAGTGACAAAAACACTGCTTATCTAGATTAAATGTGGTTATTTGATTTTGTCTGTGTGCAGCTGGACGAGTTGGCCGACAGGAATGCCGAGTGTTTGGAGATGCTCCATGAATCGCAGGAGGAGATCAGAGAGCTGCGCAATAAAAACAATCCCTCTGCCGGCATGCGGAGGCACCTCTCCTACGGCCTCTCCTCCTACCCCATGGTGAGAGAAAAAAAAACGCTCTGAAGTTTTATGACGTAAAGCTGAGACCTAAGAGCTGAGACGCAGACATACAATGAATTCCTTTAAATGAAGTCGCAATCAACTGAAAAACAATAAAAAATGGAAGTTTCTGGATGTTGATATGTGCCTCTAAACTCCTTTATAACTGTAACCTGACGTTATAAATTGTAGTACGGCGCAGTTTAAAGTGTAATATACCTTGGTCTCATAGTGATGCTTTTATGGGGAAGTTTTATTTATGCATATTAAATATATTTTCATTTGATGAATATTTGTCGTGAACACAGCAACTTTTGGTCATTTTGTGGATTATCATTTAAAATCGGATGGCAGCAAGCACCAGAATCCCCCTTTGCTACTCACCCCTATATTTCAGTGTATTGACATGGGTGTTTGTCAAGCATTACTTTGGTTTAAATCATCTTCATAATACTTATTCAGTGTAGCTTCTTTTCAATTCAGCTAGTTGAATTAAAGTTTTGCAAAGGGTGTACCGCAAGGAACAAGTTTAGGGCCATTACTTTTTGAACCCCGATAACTAATCAGCTGCAAGTTAGGAGTGGCCATTATCACTGATGTGATGGCTGCAGATAGAGGCCTTAAAAGCTAAAAACATCCTGAGAAACAGACCCGACTCTTGACCTATAAGAATTCCTCAAATCCTGCCCGTTGGATGAAAAGGTGTCTTTGTTTATTTGCAAGAAACCCGCCGAGATGACCTTCAAACGGGTTGTGTTCATGTGTTTGCGCAGGACTCCTTAGCTGCAGAGATCGAGGGCACCATGAGAAGAGAGCTGAGTGTTGAGGAGGAGAGCACCTTTAAGGACCAAAGGTAAGTCACTCAGGACTACGAGGGGTAATGTGTCATATGTGCTGGTTTGGTTTTTACTTCTTGGTGAACCTTTTGGACGGATTCAAATGGGAACCTCATGGGAATAAAAAAACATTTGTTTCCAACTCTACAGAGTATCTCAGAAACGAGTTTTCCAAACAGTCCGCTCCATCAACGCCTCGGCCTCAACATCACGTCCACCTTCAGCCACGCCTCCTATCCGGGCTCTGGTCAAAGCTCTCTGGTGATGACCGCCCAGCCTTTCCTGTCCAGTCAGAGGTACGTTCAAAACAACCTAGCTTCATGTTCTGCACTTTCACTACATTTTTCAGCAATTTTTTTATTTATTTATGTGTCTTTTTTTTGCAAGGGAGGAGGTGCGACTAGGGCAGCCGGGCTGTCCAGGTGGGAACGACCTCACCAAAGCGCTGCATCGCCTGTCCCTGCGGCGGCAGAACTTCCTGTGCGAGCGTCAGTTTTTCCAGGCGGAGCGCGAGAAGAAGCTGCATGCGCTGGCGGGAGCGGAGGCGGACGGCGGGAGGGCAGCGGTTACAGCTCGCCGATGGGCAGCGTGCACTCCTCGTTCTCCAACCTGTCCGAGCTCTCGTTCGGCTCCTGCATTTTCAAAACCTTCCTGCCCGAGAAGCTTCAGATCGTCAAACCCATGGAAGGTAGAACCACACAATACCACAGCGTAAACCTTGTTCTTTCAAAGAGAGGACCCACTGGAGGTGCTTTAAATTGCTGAGAATTTTTTTAATTCTTAAAATGATGTAATTTCTGTGCCAGGTTCACTGACGCTTCATCACTGGCAGCAGCTAGCCAAACCACACCTTGCCACCATCTTGGACCCCCACCCTGGAGTGGTGACCAAGGGTTTCTGCCCGTTGGCTCAGGATGCAGTCTACCGCCTGTCTGACATGGAGGAGGACGAGGAGGATGAGGACGAGGAGCTCGGAAGGATCAGCGATGTGGAGAAGGGGGCGGCCGAGCGGGGAAAGGAAGATGAGGACGAGGAGGAGGAGGAAGGCGGGATCACCTTTAAGGTGCACTGTTCTTCAACGCCGGAGGAGAGGAGAGACAGGAAGCAGCCGGTGTCACCTCTACCCGGCCTGCCTGTCTCCCCAACCCTGACGACATCACCTCAAACACATGCCTCTTCCCCCTCCACCAGATCAGACCTCACCCCTGCATCCTGTCCTATAACTGAGAAATCCAGCCAATCAGCTCAGCCCATTCCAGTAGCCTGCACAGCTGTGGTCCAATCACAAATTATCACCTCAACATCTACAACAACATCTTCTTCTGGTACAAACGACTTAAAAAGTCATGCAGAAATAGAACAAGATAAGTGCATTTTATTGCTGTTATATCACATTTCTCATCCCTGATTTGTTGTGTTCAGTCCAACATCCAGGGAAGTGTCAGAGCTCCACCTTCTCCACCTACACCTTTACAACCTGTCGCATCCTGCACCCTAGTGATGTCACACAAGTCACCACCAGGTACGTTTTCAAAGGATGAAGAGAACTCGTTTTCCTTTGTTTTTTGAAGCCTTAAAGGGACAGTACCCTCCAAACTCTGTAAATACAGATATTTCAACTTAATATCTATGTTGGGCACAAAGCTCTCTTTCCTCAGTTTGTCTCTTGTCTTTTTATTCTTTAGTTCTCAGTCGTCCATCATGGCCAACACACCCAGCTCCATGAGACAGGTCCCAGCACCCCTGTGACGCCTTGCAGACTGAGCCTGGGTGACTCCTTCCCCCCTCGTCGCGCTCCTGCCGCCCCATGCGGCCTGGCCAAGCTGGTCCTGGAGAGAGGCATTTCTGCACAGATCTCCACCGACACTCCTCCTCCATCCCCCAAACCCACAGCGCGGCAGCCTCTCTTCCGCCTCCTCCCGAGCACGCCCCCTAACTCGCCTTCCCACTCACCCACTCCCTCCCCGGTGCCCACAGAGTCCCGCCAGCACTCAGCAGATAACTTCTTAGCCTCACGGCCCGCTGAACTTTTCCTCCAGGACGTTTACGGATTAAATCTTGGTCGCGCTCCACACCCTGACCTACCGAGCCCGAACCAGGAAATCCCAGCCCATGCCCCGCCCCCTAAGCCAGGCCGAGCGAGGCCTGACCCAGGCAATGTCGGCCTTGTGGAGAGGCTGCGACGACTCGGCTTCACCAAGGTTCTCCAGGGCGCGGAGTCGGACGCTTCAGTGCCTCGACAGGATTCTTCAACTTTTGTGTCAGCGAGCGGGGGAAGTCTATTGGACGGCCTGAGGCGCAACCAAAGCCTCCCTGCCATGATTGGCGCCCGAGCGGGGAAGTCGGCCAGTATCCCAACACCTCCTCCTCACCCCACAACTCTGGCCCTGCCTCCACCGTCCTGGGGGAACCTCAAAGAACGCCGACGGCACCTTGGTTCCCTCTCACATGCCTCGTCCAGTTCGGCGAAACGCTGATGAGAGATAAGGTGGATAGACTCAAAGGGACACACTCCAGAACTTGAACCTGTTTTTTTGCCTTTTGGGGAGAGGTGTTGGGGCATCTGGTGGGCAGAACAATCCCTCCTTTTTAAAACTTTTAAGCACAATTTAACTAAACTGACTGTTTTTAGTGATACTGCAGTGTCTATGTGTGTAGATGTGTGTAGTTGTTTAGGCCTTAGTTTGCCTCTGAGCATGTTTTTCAGCTCTCGGTACCCTCTGAGTCATGTATAAATCTTAATAGGGTTATTTAGTTCTCCTGTGAGACTCTGGATGCTCTGGAAAAGGAAGATAAGGTTTGGGAAGGATAACATGTAAGTAGACGAAGGTTTGTGGATGTGGATAAGAAATGAAAAGGAGGTTAAGGTAAGGGTATAAAAAGGTCTTGGTATGTTCATTAATGTCAAAAGAGAAAGAAAGTAGAAGGCAAAGAGAGAGTGGGCATCCAGAGTTTTGCTTTCAAGGGCTTGTTCTGTATGGGTTGGAAAAGCTTTAGATGGGAATAGAACAGTATCATCTGCAAAGAAAATCTCCAACAAAAGAAAAGGGGTTTCTACATGCTAGCTGGCTTAACAGATTACTGCCAGCCAGACTCAAACTATTGTCAGACCTTGCTATTAACATCGTCATGATTTTTTAGTAGTGAACAACACAAGGATGTCTAGTGACCGTCCATGTGCCGTGCGCCTCCCCCCCCCCCGCTCTCTCGCGTGTGCAGAACTCGCGCTACAGGTCCCAGCATGCACCTGAAGGCTGAAGGCAAAAATCAGATCACAGGTATAGGAGATCTGGTCCATGTGTTTTTGTAATCATACGAGGCCTTAAGTAGAAGCCAGTGCTGTTATGATTTGAGTTCCTGTAAAGCCATGTTTGTATTTATTTGTTGCACTCAACGGGGTTGGAAGGTTGTGGTGAGTTTGAGGGGTCACTGCTTGCTTGGGAGCGTTTCAGCACGGCCCTAGGCCCTTAAAAGGACAAATAGGAATTTGATTGTTTCAGTGCTTAGCCACCATGCTAATTTGAGGCCAGTGGAACCTTAAAATTAGGAGGGAAATCCATTAACGCATCATTTTAATTGTATAGCTGGGGGGGTTAGGGTAAGGGGTAAAATCAGTTTTTTTTTTTTTATGAATGGTTCCTGTGTTTAAAATGTGTCTCTGGGATATATAGTACTGACATTGACCAGCAGGTGGGAGTATTCCCATAGAAAGGTAAGAAGCATACTAATGTGACATGTTTAAATCCAAGGTTAAGAGTGATGCTTGACCCTATCCTTCCCTACGCTCACCTGTCCAACCAACACATCCTAAACAGCTAATGCACTATTTTTATTATTAATATTATTATTAAGTCTGTTTTACTGACACCACTGTTTGAAGTATAATAATACTAACATTTTAGTGAGAATATTAGCATATGTGTAACAATGTCTGCTAACATTATGACATAAAGTTTTAACATATTTAGCACTTTTTTTTTTTGCGTTTTTGCTTCACAAGGGAATTCAAATCAGCCAAAATGTTCTATAAAGGAGAAATGGAATACTCTACACATGTGTATGCTAATGTGTATATAATACCTATGCCATATTGAACAAAGAAAGAAGCTACATCTTTTTTTTTTTTTTGTTTAGTGTGTTCGAAGGCTTGGCATTAAGGACAGAAGGCACACACAAACTGTTCATGTCTTTTTAGATATCTTGTAGTTGCTATCCCCCCTCTAGTGAAGCAGGAGTTTCAGGCTTGGCTTTCTTTCCTGTGATCGCTTTGTGCCTCCCTTTCAATATCATGATCCTCTGTAAAATACTCATGGCTATTATTCAGTTGCCTCTTTTTTTTTTTTTTTAATAAATCGATGGAAACAAAACAACTGAGTTGTCCACTAGTTTATTATTACTAACAGAAATTGTTTCCACAAAAATGCACAAAGAGAAAAGATTCAAACAGATCTATTTATTAAATGACTGGGATTGATACATCTGGGTGTTTACTGAATAATAAAAACCAACTATTAGGCCTTTTTTTTTTTTTGCAAAGGCTGCAAATATTTTCCTTGAAGTCAGTACCCCAGTTAGGCCACCCCATTAAAAAAATTTAAGATTGTTAAAATTTCAAATTGAACAAATCTGAGTTTACAGACACAGCGATGCTGGAACTTTATAATAACATCAGTATACTAACACAGGGATGCTTAGTGTCCCAATATTTCCTTTTATTTGAATTCAATCTGGACAAGAGTTGTCAACCCACTAACAGACTTGACATTTCCATGAGCTGCTAGCATAGCTGTAAACAATGCAATGTTTGCTTTTTTATGGAAGAGAAACTCATTTCACCAAGTGCTTTTAAAATGTGAAAAAGGAGAGATCAGGTGCAAACTGATCCAAAACATTCAGTCATTGTGCTTCCAATGAGTTTGATCATATTGTGCACTTTCATGTTGCTGCGTTTGACGATAACTCAAACCCTCACATTGGACAGATCTTGATGCTGTCAGAGCTGGAGCTGAACTGGCCGAGGGCAAAATCCAGACCGACACCAACTCCGCTGCCGACCCCGAATGCAGCATAAAGCGGCTGGGTGAAGTTAGCGCGGAATGTGTGGAGGTGTGTCAAGTTTTCCGCCACGCTGTAGAATGCCAGCGTCCCCGCAGACAGGTCCAGGTAGACACCCAGGCGGGGGGAGTAGGTGACCGGTATGTCCTTCTTCTCGTTGTCGTGCATGGCCGAGCAGCAGGTGTCCGACAGCTCCAGGGTCCAGGACTGGGCGTTGTAACCCAGCCCGGATCTCGCATCTGAGCCCTTCCTGCTCAACGCCCCGTATGCTACGCCTATGGAAGAGCCCCGCCCTCTCCACTCCACCTCCCAGTAACAGCGCTCATCGTACAGTGGGCTCGGGCACATAACCTGGGTCCAGCCGTCAAAACGCTGCGGGTTGTCGAGGTAAGGTTGCGCCATCCCTTGTAGAGTGGCTTTGGTGTCGCCTTCAGTGAGAACCAGACGTCTGTGGGCTGTGTTGGGGTCAAGGGTCAAGGTCACAGAGTCTAGGAAAGAGGAGGTTGAATTTAACAGAATTTGTTATTATGCATGCATTTCTTTTCAGTGTCTGGAGTAAACATGGACGGTAGTGGACTTATCTAAAACATCTTAAATTATAAACATTGACACTCACACTGTAGAAACTCCTCTCTGGCCCTCGGCTCTGGGGCCTGGATGCTGGTAATGCTGAGTTCCCTTACTGGAAAAACAAACTCATCAATGTGTAAAAAAGGTTGCATTTTTTTAATTGACACATTTCAATTAAGTAACTTTATTTACATTAGGGGAATTTAATTTTCTTTTTCTGTGATGTTATTTGCCCATAATAAACAAACAGTGAGGATAAAGTTACATTTACTTACATGCAGGGAACACAGGAGATTGGATCATGGTGGTAGGACTAGGTGAGTCCAAGAAAAGACTGGGGTTAACTGTCAAGGTAGAAAACAATGTTAGAACCATCAGTATCATACATATTAATATGTTCAATCTACAGGACTTAAAGCTCTTGTAAGGAGTTTTTATTTGGTTGTGAAACAGACTAAAAAGGAATACTAATGCTTTTTTATGACCGAAAAAAAAAAAAAAATGTAAACATTTATCGGCCAAATTTAGAAAAGAGATTCCATAGTCTCACTTTGTCCTCAGGGAGGCGCCAACATCGACACAAACCACAAAGTTCTTCACAGGAGCTTTAATGTGGAAATCAGCCAAAAGATGCAAATTAAATATTATATGAAGACTCTTACCAATTGTCGGTGTCTCCGGCAGAGAAGCCATCCCCCCTGTTGAGTGAACACAAGTCACACACTTAGACAACTTTGAGCATAACAACATGCAATTTGGCTTTATTCAGGTTGAGAAATGTATTAATAATTTAAATGGAAATTCCCCATTTGAATGTATCCTAGCGTATAAAAGGAGCCAAGACTAATTGTTTCCATGGATACTAAAAGTACTTACGTGGGTTTCCTCCAGCAGACGGTGGGTTATTGACAGGTGTAGCCGGGTTGGTGCCACGCCGATGAGAGCGGAAGAGACTGCTAATGGACGCCATCCGACTGAAACCCGATCCTATTTGAAGAAAAGCACAAAGGAGAGATGGAGTTTAGTCAGGTGCTGGCTAAAAAACTTTTTTTTGAGTTTTTGTTGTCTCAAAGGTGAATATTGTACCTCCAGTTGATGCTGGTGCAGCTGCCGGAGCTGGAGTCGGGTTGACGGGGATTGGAGTTGGAGTTGGTGTGTGAGAGGCAGCCTGGCTCTGACTGGACCTGCTCCAGAGGGACTGAGACTCTCTGCGGCTGGGAGTGGGGCTGGGTCTGTGGTTGCTCTCCCTTTCTATTACAGAAGACATGTTAGATGTTCAATCAATGTTGGGGTTGCGACCACAGTGCATAACAAAATGTCTTAAAGCTTGATAGGACCCAGACCAAGACCCTGTGGTACACCAAAATGAGTTGCATGTATGAAATCCCAGTTAGCAACAGCATCTATAGCCAAGATATTTATAACGTGATGTATTACAGGGTAATGTTCATTATTGTTCAAATATTTAATACATTTAGCAAGCTGGGAAGAAAGACAGAGTGGCTGACCAAGAGAAGCCAACCAACTATCTAAGCGTACTGTGTATCTACTGCATCTAATAATGCTGTGATATGAGCAGCTTTAAAATTCTTATCCTTCATAACACAATTCTATTTCTTCACTTTTAGTGTATGAGGTGTTGACATGAACACAGAAAGGTTTCTTGCAGCAGGAAGCAGCAGCCACCTCATTACCAGGAAGTTTTTGTTTCAAAATTGGAGCTAGTCAAAAGCAAAAAAAATACCTACCAGTATCTCTTTCCTCTGTTCTTAGTCTGTCTCGAAGTCTAGGTGAGTTTGTATTTCCTCTATCTGCAACAAGGAAGAAGTATAATTTTCACATTTTTTACTTCTTTATCTGTGGTAAAGACTCATCATACCGCAGATTAGAAGTTAGCTAAGAAAGGGTTTTAATTGCACACACAAAAAGTCTCACCTCTTGGTGAATCTCTACTCCTCACGTCCGCATTTTTGTGGCCTATACCTAAAAATGATGGGGTTTTTTGTTACAAGGGCTGCATATCAAATAGTTTTTATGAAATAATGAACGCTGATGCACAATACCAAGTCCTCGTCTGTCCGTGCTTCTTGCTCCGACTGAGATACTGGGTATGGCAGCTGTGGAATGTGAAATAAATTATTTTTAATTACACTATTTATTTTAAAGCTAATTAAGAGAAAAGATACAGTGATGGTCGATAAAATTAATATAAAAAAACCCAAAACAGAACGTACCTGAAGAACGGCTGTTTGTGCTGCGAGATCCCAGGCCTGAAAACACTGTAGGAAAGCGGTAAAATCAGGAATGAGTTCTTTGATGAGTTTTAGAATCATGGTACTTGTAGCCGTAAAGTTATATTTAAAAACAAAAAAATTATAACTCACATTTAAAAATCCCTCCTTTGTGTCCTGACCGGTTGGCTAAATAAGAAAAAAAATGAATGAAAGTTATTTAAGAATATTAAAAGAAGGTCAAACTTTTACCACAGTTATGTTAAAAAAATGTCAGCAACTTACAGTCACCCAAAGTGAACAGTGTTGTGTCATTGACTGGAAGAGAACAGAAAAATACAATAAATGAAGATAAAATTCCACAAAAACAGGACAAGACACGATGCCAGCAGAATGATTAGAGGCGTCATTTCACAGACCTTGTTTGGTGATCTTGCCCAGTTCATTGTTGCACATGTCCTCAATTTTCTCCCTGAGGTCCAAGATGGCGTCTCGGACAGGCTCAAAGGAAGCGTCTGGATTGACCACCACGGCGGGCAGGTCTCCCGACTCCAGGGGACTGCACATGGAATCACAAGTCTGGAGGAAAAAGAAGTCACATTGTTTAGGGGAAAATAAAATCTCTTTGGCACCCCCTATGGTGATAATTAGTAACTGCATGTAACACTGGCTTTTCTCAACCTTTCTTGACTATTTTTCTTGTCATTTTGGAAATGTCATCATCTGTAGACAACAATCCTTTTTTTATGTGTTCAGTCATGCGGGGAAAAAAAGACTCTACCCCACCCACAAGCGGCAGACATTGCATTGTCAATTATTTCTGCTGCTTCATGTAAGAAGTACCATGTCTTTAGCAAAGCCCCGCCTGCAGTTCCAGCCAGCTCAAGCCCACGCTGAGCTTTCCATACCTGCAAGTAATGGATGTGGTCCTCGCAGCGGGCCAGGTCCTTCATCTCCGTGTCCCTCCTCCTCAGCTCCTTGATCTCAGCCTCCAGGCTGTCGTAAACCTCCTGAGCCTGGCCCATCTTCTCCTGGCCCGCCTGATCCAGCACCTCTTCCAGCAGCTCCTGCAGACGCTCCACTGAGTGCTGCAGCTCGGACAGAGCCTGCTCCATGTCACCATGCACCCTCAGTGTAGAACTCTTTGCAAGGATGAGGGGAAAGACATTTTGATGGTCATGTTCCGGTATGCAAAAATACATACACAAGGCCTTCTTGAATTGATCTGACATAACTGATATAAATGCAGGACGTTTCTTATCTATTTTATAAAACTTTGGTGCAAATGAACGCAAATTTCTGCCAACCAACCTTCATCACATCCATCACCTTCTTCAGGTCTTTAAACTCTTGCTCTCTTTCTTTCAGCTTCTGTTGATTTTCTGAGAGCATGTCGGACAGCGCTTTCTACAAAGGAAAAACATAGCGTCCAAAACAAATGACTCAGATAAACAAAAGCACAAGGAAGCAGCAGCTGTACAAGTGAGTGGGAAGACAACATCAGTGGGTGGAGCAATTTGAATGGACAGGAATGTAGTAAGGAATGTCCTCAACCTGGCTGGAGCAAAAGTTAGATACAAAAGAAGAGTGGACTGAATCTGAAAGAGCAACCCATCACACAGAACAATGAACAGTTAGCAGAATGGGAGTTACACTGTACATGATCGTTGTCAATTCTCAACACATTATCTATCTGATTTAAGATGTTATATTCATTATTAAACAATTCAAGCTCAATTTAACTAGTCATAGTTTGTTAGGTATTAGCATTGTGTGTCTAGACAGAAAGCAAATTGGAATTAAATTGTTTAAAATGTTTATTTCCCCATGGTTTCGAGCTGTGTGTTAGCTAGAAAGCTAGCTAGCATGTGCACGCGCAACCGCACTGGATGGCTTCTGTTGGGGTTCAGTTCAGTGTCTATCCTTTATGTAACTTGTCCTTTATGTAACTTGTCATGCAAAATAGTTAACAATCTGAATATTCTGACACAGAGCTATCATTGCCCCACTTTTGGACTGGCCAGCAACTGAAAAGACCATGAATACCATACATTAGCTACCAATAAACATGAAAACATAAAAATCATTTTCTAGCTAATGTAACCGTTTGATAGTGATATATTACGACAGGAGATGGATGAATCTTTAAGGAAATTTTAAGTTAAGTGTTTTAGAGTCAAAAGGTAAGCGCAGCAAATGAGTTGCTAATGCTAATGTTTGCAATGGAAACTGTAGCTTACAGGATATCAAATGTGTTCTTTTGCATTTATTATAAACAGATATCACTCTAGATTTTCTCTATTTTTTTTTTCAATTGCAAATTAGCCAGGTTGCTGGGAATATTCAAGACTTGTTTGATTTGATTATAAGCATGTGCACACGATGACATCAGAGGAAAAATGCACGCCATGGGAAACTGTTAATGGGCATATGAGCCTATAACTTTTGTCCCTGTTTTGTATAAGACTTTGTCACTTATAGAAAAGGGGATTGTCTTTCCTATCAGACATTGGATGTTGGATTAGTATACACTGGTATTTAGGGTACGTCTTGGATGCCATCATTTCAGGAGCCTTTCATCTGGTACCTGAAACCAGTGCAGCATCATTTCTTGCTTACCTGTTTCTCCAAGCGTTCAGCCTTGGTGGACACACACTCGTGGCCTTTGTGTATGTCGCTGGTACACAGCCAGCAGACAAATATCTTACACTGACGACAGTAGAACTCCTGCAAGTACTTGTGCTGGGTGCAGATCTTCTCAGCTAGGTTACTGGTGGGTCCGATGAGCTCGTGCTGCTTCAGGCTCTTCTTGGTCTGGTGGGGCTTCAGGTGGGCTTGGCAGAAGGAGCTCATACACACAAGGCAGCTCTTGACCGCCGCTCGCTCTTCCCCTTTGCAAATGTCACACAGGACTGCGGAGGAGGCGAGCTTAGGTTTTGGTTTAGATGAAGAAGCGACCCCACGGGCAATTCGCATTGACTCCCGCACTTCACTTTTGAGGGCCCCTTTGCGGAGCTGCTCCACAGCCTCAGCCAGCATGGTGTTCCTGGACAGGGAGGGCTTGGGGCTGAAGGTTTTGCGGCATTGGGGGCAGCTGTAGATCCCTTTTGGGTCGTCCTTGCTCCAGTAATCCTTGATGCAAGCCATGCAGTAGCTGTGCCCACAGGGGATGGTGACTGGATCATTAGGGAGATCCAAACACACAGGGCAGTTGAACTGCTCCTCTGTCCACATCTTAGAACTCATGGCGGCACTTTCAGACACAACAGCAAGAGGAAATCAAAGGCGGAGAGAGATAGTAAACAGGAATCCAAAAATAAGAAGCACAGCAGTGGAAGAGAAAGATCCAGAGGAAGCTTCTGCTGGGGACTCACAGGAGGAAAATGCTGTTTCTCTGTCAGGTGAGAGCAGGGAGAGGTGAACAGGGTGGGGCCAGAGCCACCAGGCAGGTCTAGCGGGGAAAACGGGTGTCGGTGGGAAACTGCTTAATGCTACGATAGAAAAGGTGTGAATGGACAAATAATTTTATCATTTAATTGCAAAAAATGACTTCCAATCAATTGCTTTTGAAAATGGGCTCATACTGTACTGTAAAGTCCATTTAAAATCGTACAATCATAGTAGAGAGGAATTATCAGGAGAACATGCTTCCATAATGATTAATGTGTCGGCTGCTTTGGAGGGTAAATGTGTCTTTGGAACTGCTAACAACCCACATACAATATCAAATCTAGAAATATAACAAAGGATTAAAAAGAAAATCCATCCATGAGATCACATTATTTACTTTATTTCTATTTCTCAGAAAGAAATACACAGAATAAAGTCATAAAGTCACTGTTTTTGTCACTTAAACCTCCCCACTTTTAGCTTAACAGAACTGTTTAAATTACTATTCACTGTAGGCCTTTAACTAGAATGAATACTAAACACAATTTATCACTAGGTGGCACTGTTGCACCCCTTCTGGTGCTGGAGCTTTTCAGTAAGAATCTTTATTCATTAATGTAAAGCAGACTGATCAAAAGAGTTTCTGCCATTGACGCATAGTTTATGAAAGAGTTTTAGTTGACAAGAGTGTACACCGATAGCCTACCGAATTAATTTAAACAGTTTAATGTGGTTTATCAAATTCTTACGTGATATTTTATTTCTAATTGTATATATGTTTTCCTTTTCAATTGGTAACGACCATTCAAGAAACTCATGTTCAGAAGTAAGAGTAAGTCAAGGCCTGCTATATATATATATATATTATTATTTTTTCTTTTTAAGAAAGCGAAGGCGGAAGTACAACGGAGGGCATCCTCTTGTACCTCCCGGCGGAAATGCTAAGTCCGCCGCGTCTGTGGTCTGTTTTGCTGACTGTGTTACATTTAGGAGTTGTTTACTAATATGTCCAATAAAGTTGTGAAACGTCCAGGTGTTGGGGTAGGGGTGCTGGTTACGGACTTAGCCCACCCGGGCTGTGTTCTCCTGGGAAAACGGAAAAGCGCCATGGGCAGAGGGACGTACCAGCTCCCCGGTGGCCACTTGGAGTTTGGGTATGTAACCCGTATGTAACCAGCCAGGTAGTTAACATACCCGATTCATAACTCATTCATAAAAACATGTATTTTCAAAGTAAAAGCTCCTGCGAATTTAGGAGTTGCAGTAGTCTACACATGTTTTTTTTTTATGTACTCAACATTTTTATTGGGCTGTTAAGCAGGGGGAAAATTGTCATGTGCATGTAACACTCATTTTTGTGTCACTATAAGAGAGACGTGGGAGGAGTGTGCTCACAGAGAGGTGCTGGAGGAAGCAGGTGTGCGCTTGGTGAATGTGCGTTTTGCATCAGTGGTGAACTCCATCAGACTGGAGGAGCAGTACCACTACGTCACCATAATCATGCAAGGAGAGCTGGACAGGGAGCAGTCAGGAGAGCCCGAGAACCTGGAGCCAGAGAAGAACGAGGGTATGCAAAGTCAAACAAAACAAAAATAATATGTCACAAAAACCTCAGACGTGAACAATAACAAAATGTGTGGTTCTCCTCTGCCTCCCAGGTTGGACATGGACGCGGTGGGACCAGTTTCCTCCTGAGCAGCAGCTCTTTTCGCCGCTCGCCGGGCTGAGACTTCAAGGCTTCCGGCCGTTCAGTGACAAAGTAACAAACACTGAAACTCAACACTGAAACTGTAAATGATATTGGGAATCTTTTATCAATCACACCTCTTGTTTCACATCAGTGAATTGTTTACATTTTTCCCCCTTTCTTTTTTGTAATGATATGTTTTAGTGTTGGCGCCATACCAGAATTTTACACTTCCTACTATTATAAAATAAAATGCTATTGGTAACTTTTCCAATACTACAGCAACAAAAACAGAATACCTAGGCACCACATATTGCTTAGTTTCTCGTTTTTAGTTGCCAAAAGTTGCAAGCAAACTCCTGCTCACTGTCTAAAATGAGCAAGTACAACGTTGCAAAGTTTCAATACAGTAGTAGTTGTGCATTTAAGGCAGTGTCACCTCCTCTGCTCTGTCTGTTTCCAAGAGATATAATCCAACATGTGTGTTCAAAAATTACTAAAGAGCTGTATTGTTTTGGTACCCTTTTATACAATGGATCATTCAAAGATAACAGATTGTATCGTTTTAAAATATGTGGTATAAAAAAAGTATTAAAGTACTGTTTTTTAATTTTCATTTTGGGATAGAGTTGGAAATCAGGGACAGAGAGTGGGGAATGACGATGCAGGGAAGGAGGTGGATACGTACTGGGGCCACTTGCTTTTAGGACTATAGCCTCAGTACATGGGGTGTGCACACTAACCACTAGGCTACCTGCGCCCCGTATTGAAACACTTTGACAGCTTTTGTTAGTACTAGTATTTTTTCAAACTAAAACTATGAATGGCTTCAAATGCCGTTGATGAAAACTTTCTGCTTTAGGATTTCATGACATGAATTGTTGTTGTTGCATTCATAACAAATTTTATGAAAATGATGCAAAAAAAAAGTTTTTCTTTGCCACATTAAGGCCAACAATTATGCTACAAGATTTAACTTTTTCGGGCTCTTTGGTGCCAAAATGATGATGTCTCATATCATGATATTTACTTTAGATTAGTGACCATCAACTGGCGGCCTGCGGGCCACATCCGGCCCCAAAAAGCTTCCCTGCCAGCTATTAAAATGCAAATCATCTCGGGTGAAAGACATTTGACCAGCTTCTTCCCATGTGCTATATATTTAGTTTCTCCTCACATGAGGTTGGTGCTGGTGACACCAGCAGCTAACAGTAAGGTCCACAAGGTTGCAGCAGCGGTTGCCACAGCACTGTTAAAGGTCTTGTCATGGGCGTAGGTGATGATGTGCAGGGCTCCCTCGTAGGCCTCCTCGCAGGTTGGCTTGATCTGATCTTGAGGAAGTTCGAAGCTGTACGTCCCGTTATCTCTGAGCTCAAAGATGAAGGCGTAGGGGATCCCCTGCATCCGAGCCCAGTCTATAGAAGAACCAGACATCGGATCTGTAGAAAGACAAAAGCATCGATACTTCAGAGAGGTAACCAGTGTCCATGAAAGACCATAAAAGTCTTCAAAACTCTCGTTCCAAAGGATCAAACGTTTGAGATATTGTGGTCAAAAATTGGGTGCTCATCCCTAGAGTTGTGCTGCCAGCACAGCTGAAGCTAATACAGTACACGTGTGTGTGTAAATAAAGATGTGCTGTGAAGGACTTACACAAAACATCTGCTGAGGCTCCAACAGTGTAGTTCATCCCGTGGACTTTCTTAATGACGTCTGCTGCAGCCACACCCACATCCATCTGAGAGTCAAGGCAATAGGTTTGAGTCAGAAGCCCCATTTCGACCGCAGGAACTATCCCCAAGAACTATGGTCATTTTGGTTAAAGTGTAGTTCCTGGTAGATAATCTAGACCCTACTAGCGGTTATGTACTTTCTGACGGTCGAGGGACTTTTTGGGCAGGGCCTCAAGCTCCTGCAGGGCTGAACGTCTGATTGGCCAGGCAATAGGAGCAAAGTTAAGTCAATTAGGGAGGTTCTAATACCATTTTTTCTTCCCGATATTGATTCCATTTCCGGTACTTAGAGTTGAGTATTGGCTGACAGCCATAATATCGGTTGAATAACACCCATTGGTGACATTTTGCTGACTTTTTCAAAATAATTGACCTAAAACCATTTTGTTTCTTGGGAATAATAGTAACAGATACCCATACTGCATTTTAGGCAGCGTGAGATAGAGACAGGTATGGGGCTAATACAGATACTGGTATTGGTGCTGAAATAACATGACATACAATCAGTAAGATGTGGAGTGATCTAGACGGCACAAATCCATATTTTTTCAAATATATTTAAAAAGGCATAATGGTCATATAAGAAATGTGTACGTATGCATCACTGTGTTTAGTAGAAGTAGATACCAGCTCTTTGTCGTTGTCGGCGGTGAAGTTTGGGTGTCCATAAGGAAACAGCAGCAGCTGGCCGTAGGAGTGGATGTTGAGGAAAACCAGGAAGTCTTCCTTCCGGGTTCCTACAAAATAAGTGACGGCCTGGGCCTCGGGCTCGGAAAGTTTTTTGGTGCCGCAATAGAAAATGTCACAGCAGTCGTGTGATACTCCCACAGCTGTGAATAAACATATGGCAAAAAAAAAAATCTGAATTATCATAACCTGAAATAAACGAATAAGAGACACTCTTTTTCCACACATTTTTTTTTAACTCACAGCTTCACCTTTGCTCTAACACAACTTTTAAAGAAATCCTCATTGTGAATTTCCAGGAACGGTAATGCTTAAAGGTGCATTAAGAGATTTGTGGCCACTGGGGGGCAGCAGAAACGAGCTGTAAGAACGACATGTCAGCATACAGTTGCAACGAGCAGAAAAATATAAGCATGCATTTAAGGGGGTTGGGTTGAAGTCGAACTCTGGTCACATGCTTAGGGGACTATAGCGTTTGTTCATAACTTTCCATATCTGTACAGTTACAATGACAAAGTCAAAACTGGCAGTCCAAACTGTATCATAATAAAAGTAAGACTCACTTCCCCAGTTGGCATCAAAGTTGCGGTTGAGATCGGTGCCGTAACATCCACAGCCGTCGGGTCCTGGCGACCTGTTCTTCCTCCACAGTCGAGTCTAAACAGGTCATTAAAGTCAGTTGATGAATATGGATGCTTTTTAAAAATCATGATATGAATTTAGTGTTACATAAAATGGCTAAGGGTCTTTTTCCTGCTACACCAATCAGAAACCTGGAAAAGTAATTTGGTAAACATCTACTTTAATGAAGCACTGACTGATTCGTTGAACCAGGAGTGGATGTAGCCGTCCATGTTGAGAACAGGGGTGACGTAGAAGTCCATGTTCTTCATCATCTCCTCCATTTTTGGGTCTTTCTTGGATGCATCCAGGATCTTATTTTAGAAGCAAAGAAAAAACACAGTAAGTATGTAAGAAGTTAAAATTCAGACAAAGTGTTTTTTTTGAAAAAATGGCCCGTCTCTTACCTGTTTGACAAAGTACTGACAGAAGGCGGGGGCGATCCATTCCCTGGCGTGAATACCACAGTCCATCCAGATAGCTTTCTTCTTTTCTCCTGTATCAACGCCAATCTGGTAGACATGTTGAAATGTAATCTTTTTAAGCTACTATACAACATAAAAGCACACTAAATAAGAATATACTCAAGTATACTTTTGGTAACTAACATAAAACATAAAAACCTTCAGCAGGCTAATAGTCCTCTTCTCATAGGTTTGTCCATATTCCGTGACGGTCACAATCTCAGGATATTCATCCTCAATCTGAGCCATCCAGCTAGAGATCTGTCAAGAGTTGCATTGTTACACATCAGAAACTGTATTTGTTTAGTTGTCAAAGAAGAGTACTTTTGGAACAATGATTACGGCTTTCTGACCTCTCCCATGGGATGGTATCTGAAGTAGTCATACTCCACTCTGTCACAAAACCAACAAAAACACAAGAAAAGATATGTGTTTGTGTCCAGACATTGAAGTTTGCAAGAAAACCATTCCTCTTACTCAAAAAGTAGTAATCATTAGCTCTCTTGAGAGAAACCATATCAGCGACTAAATTGAGAGCCGCAGTCTCGCTAAGATCACAGGGAAGACATTTGAAAATGTAGCCTATAGCCAGGGGTGTCTCCAGACTTTTTGAACTTAGGGTGGCCCAACTTTGGGTGCCGTCTTGTGCAGGGGTGGCTGGAAGTTTTTGTGCACACAGCTGAATGTAGAACATTTATTTACCCCTTCTGCACTATCACCTTGACTGTTTAAGTAACACAAGGTGCAAGGGCCCATTCGGTGCTGCTTGCGTTCTATAGTTTAACTTTGTTTCAGAACAAGCTAAAAAGTCCTTACAGGAACTCTAGGTATCAGTCTACCTGTCAGCTTGTGGTACAAGGATGTTGATTAAAAGAAAGCTCATTACAGTTAAGAATTTGTTAGTGTATTATTTTGCCCTTTAATGCACTTCAAACATAATTCTTAGGTTTAATTAATTCCAATCGTGTTAGGTTAGCCTCCCATAGAATAGTTTTTCTAGCCTGCAGTATGACATTTTTAAGAACAGCACTTACCTCTCTACTGTGGCTGCTCCGACCACTGACAGCAATGTTACAAAGCTCAGTCCTGCAGAGTCGAGCATTGTCACTTCTTAAAAGCATTGTCCTTATTTGCAGCTGACTTCAGGATGTTACAAGCCTTTATTAAAGACATCCATCAGACGAAGACACACCTTTGTCAGAGTCACAGACCACTGCCAGCATGCACCTTATCATTGAGTTGGTTAATGTTTAATGTTTAGTAGATAATGATTACTCTGTACTTTAAAATAGAATATTAACAGCCAGCGTTTTATTATTCGATATCATTATTGGAGATAATCCCTTTCACGTGTTTTGCCATGAAGATAGACTTGAGACTCAAAGTCTAGACTTACACTCGATTCTTTTTGGGAGCTTTGCAAAGGGTCCCTGCTTGGGATGTTCCTAGGTAACTAATTTCAAACTCAAATTAAACTCAAATTTAAATTCAGACTGATTGACTAGTCAGCGTGAAGAAAACTCTCAGAAAGTTTAACAAGGCTAAACGGGGGATTGCAGTTTCTCTGGGGAAACAAAGTCAAACAAAACAAAACAAACAATGAAACAAAGATTGGTTTTCTGAGTATGGCTAACGTTAGCATAGCCAGCCTTCCCCCTTCCTCGCAGGTCCACATGCCTGTGCTGAACGTTGTTACGTATCACTCCGGATGATATAGGCTGACACAGCTTACGATGTACAACTTTATTTTCATTTATGAGCTCAAAATACTGCCAAAGTGATGCTATCCATTCACTGTGCTTGTTTACATCCGGGTAGTAGAGTGAGGAGAAAAAGCCCAATAACAAGAGTTTCAGCCAGCCTGCAGCCCTGGCTAGTGTCGGGTTTCTGCGATACTGCTTGTACATAATATTTGACCAGCATTGAGGCCCAACTTGTATAAACTATTAGTAATGAATTTAACCGATAATAATAATTTTGGTGCCGACTAGCTAGGTTTATAACGGTTAAACGTCCAGTTGACCAAACACATCCCTAGTTTCTGTTAACTTAAATATGAAATGTTAGTCACATTGAAGCGGCAACTTCGGTTGATAATTGAAGCCAATGCAAAAGTTAAAAAAGCTGCAGTTCCTTGAGTGTCCACTTTGAGGCTGCTGCAGAAGCCCCGGAAGTCACATACACACCCATTCAAAAATGCAAGTTTTTACAGCAGAATTGAACATGTTTACAGACGGGTACAAAAACAGAATTGGTCTGAATTGCTCATGTCTTTATTGGCACACACTGCATGGGGGTGATTTTTTTTTAAATTACTTATCAGTTTTAATATAATGAAGGATAATGATTGGTCATAATAAAGCAAGTTAGCTATTAGCCAGCTATTAACCTTCATGTTGAATTGAAGTTAGGTTGAGAAGCATTTTCGGGAATGGCGACTGCCTTCCACTGGCTCCAAAGCACCTTTTAGCGATCAATTTGTGATGTCACTCATTGTTGTCCATGTTTATTTACAGTCTATGCTAATTCCCTTGCCAGTTTTAGCATGCTAGCACATTGTACAGCTACACAGAAGAGCATATTTCTAAACAAACCAACTCTTCAAAACTAAACCTATTCCTGAACTATGGATGGATTTAAAAAAAAGATTTCTTCTTAAGGATTTCACGACAAATAGGGGTTGCATTTATTTAAATTTATAAAGAAAACGATGCATCGACTAAAATGCAACGAAAAGTTTGTGCTTGTCATATTAAGGCAAACAAATATTTTCGTGGAAAAATTCAAATTTTAAGGTTTAATCTTCTTTTTTAGGCAGAAATTATTTCTCTTTGGCTCCAAATAAATATTCTTATGTCTTTGCTTTGAAAAAGGACCAATGCAGCAGTTACTAAATTACATTTATTTACAGTTTTTAAATGTTTCTGATCAACCAAATACTCCTTACAGTACAACAGTTTGACAATAATTTGAACAAAATCTGAATACCTTTTCATCATTAATACAATAATATTCACCATCATTTATCAACACAAAAAATCCTCCTTAAACATGAACATCTTACAAACCCAATATCTTAAAAACTGGAACTTTTTCTGAAACCTACTTAAATCCTTTGGACTAAATACCAGTGCCATCTATTCAAGATGACTGAAACTGGTTTGGATTTTGTCAGCTTCCCTTATGTAATTTTCTCCTCACATGAGGTTGGTGCTGGTGACACTAGCAGCTAACAGTAAGGCCCACAGGGTTGCAGCAGCAGTTGCCACAGCACTGTTAAAGGTCTTGTCGTGGGCGTAGGTGATGATGTGCAGGGCTCCCTCGTAGGCCTCCTCGCAGGTTGGCTTGATCTGATCTTGAGGAAGTTTGAAACCGTATGTCCCCTTATCTCTCAGCTCAAAGGTGAAGGTGTAGGGGATCCCCTGCATCCGAGCCCAGTCTCTGGATGAACCAGAGTTTGCGTCTGTTGGAAGAAAGAAAGCGATGTTACTGTATCTGATGTAACCTTTACTACATACTTATGAAGAGCCTATTCAGTACATCTACAGAATGAAATCAAACTACAGTCCATTAAAAAGCCAAGCGATTATCAAAATCCACAAAAGTCCCTAAAAATTTTGGTGCCAACACTTTTAGCATAGACCAAAATTGGTGGTCATCTCCAGAGTTGTGCTTCCAGCATTAAAGCTAATGACTCCTTGACCAGATGTGTTGCTGTGAGTACTTACACAATACTTCTGGTGAGGTTCCAACAGTATAGTTCATCCCATGGACCTTCCTAATGGCGTCCGCTGCAGCCAAACCCACCTCCATCTGAAGATCAAGAAGGTAGCTTAAGTACAGTAATACAATTACAGACATTTCAAAAAAATTTTTTTCCCTCCCTTTATTGATTCCAATTCCAATACCTAGACTTGAGTATTGGATGCTATGCATACTATTGGTGGAAAAACACCCATATGGTGACATATCAATAGTTTAAATCACCAATATTACATCTTAGGCTCCAGAGGCCCATATAGATACTGATATTGGAACACCATTACATTACAACCCAAACATCAGTCAGATGTAAAGTGATCTAGACTGCACAAAGACATATATTTATGTTCTATTTAGTAAAACTGATGATTATATTACACACATTAAAGGGGACATATTATAAAAAAAATCACTTTTATAGTGTTTTTGAACATATGTTTGGGTAACCTGAGTGTCTACTGACCCACAAAATGTGACATAAACCCATCCAGTCCTTTGTTTGTGGTCTGCATAAGTCTTACAACGCAGAGAAAAATGCTTAATTTCAAATGTTCTCAGTTTGTGACATCACAGTGGGATTATGGTAAAAACACATCCCCTCCCCTCCGCTGATATCTCCACCCATGGACTCCACCTCCAGCCTTGAACTTAACTTTTGCGCAGGTCCGCCATTTTTATTCTCACTACAGAGAAGTGATGTCTACGGGGAAAACTCGGGGGCTCATTGCGTTTAAAGAGACACACACACCAAAACGGAGTGTTCTGAGAGAGCTGGTTTATACAACCCTCCACTGGTGCTTGATTCATGTTATATATTGACCAAAGCACAGCACAGATGTTTCATTTAGACCACAGGGGACTGTTTGAAAAGGAGGATAATATGTCCTCTTTAATATAACACTTTGTGTGGATATAACACCATGCATCACTTTTTCAGTAGAAGTTAATACCAGCTCTTTGTAGTTGTCGGCGGCGAAGTTGGGTGTCCATAAGGAATCAGCAGCAGCTGGCCGTAGGAGTGGATGGTGAGGAAACACAGGAAGTCTTCCTTCCGGGTTCCTACAAAATAAGTGACGGCCTGGGCCTCAGGCTCAGACAAAGCTTGGCTGCCGCAGTAGGTCTGGTTGCAGCAGTTCTTTGATACTCCGACTGCTGTAAATTTACATTATGACAACATAATGTAAATTAAAGACATCTCTTTTACTAATTAATATGTAAAGATCTTTAAAATGCTTTTATAAAATTTCACAAAAAATATTTTCAGGACGTTTATGTTTATAGCTGCAGTAATAGTTTTCGGACACTTGGGGGAAGCAGTGAAGAAAAGACACAGCAGTGAACAGGTGAGCTCGCTAGCATACAGGTAAAACTGGCATTCATTAGAAAAATATTTTATCAGGGGTGAATCTGTGCCAGGAAATCCCGCTCTGCTTCTTCAATGAGAGTGTGTCAAAAAACATCTTGAGAAAAAATGTCATTTTTGTTTTGTGGCAATTTCTTAAAATTAGAAGCTAAAGGTAGAAAAACTAAGATGGAGAATCAGAGTAACACTCACTTCCCCAGTTGGCATCAAAGTTGCGGTTGAGATCGGTGCCGTAGCATCCACAGCCGTCAGGTCCTGGCGACCTGTTCTTCCTCCACAGTCGAGTCTAAACAGTCCAGCGTTTTCAGTCAGCGGTTGGTACATCTGGTTCTTATCCTTTTACCAATTTAGTTATTAATGAAATGGCCACTTATCATTTCTGTTTGTTCTTAAATGTTTCTGGATTGCGTTCATGTTGAGCATCAGAAATCAATCTACTCACTCATTATACTGTAGCTTATTTGAACCTCGATTTCATTACTTCACAATACTGTGTTTCCTATGCACCTGTGTCTTTTCCAATCAGAAACCTAGAAAAGTAATTAGGTAAATATCTACTTTAATGAAGCACTGACTGATTCGTTTAACCAGGAGTGGATGTAGCCGTCCATGTTGAGAACAGGGGTGACGTAGAAGTCCATGTTCTTCATCATCTCCTCCATTTTTGGGTCTTTCTTGGATGCATCCAGGATCTTATTTTAGAAGCAAAGAAAAAACACAGTAAGTATGTAAGAAGTTAAAATTCAGACAAAGTGTTTTTTTGAAAAGATGGCCCGTCTCTTACCTGTTTGACAAAGTACTGACAGAAGGCGGGGGCGATCCATTCCCTGGCGTGAATACCACAGTCCATCCAGATAGCTTTCTTCTTTTCTCCTGTATCAACGCCAATCTGGTAGACATGTTGAAATTGAATCTTTTTAAGCCACTATACAACATAAAAGCACACTAAATGACAATATACTCAAGTATACTTTTTGTAACTGCTAACATAAAGATTAACCTTCAGCAGGCTAATAGTCTTCTTCTCATAGGTTTGTCCATATTCCATGATGGTCACAATCTCA